CTTCTATTCGAGCTCTCCAGGGACTCCCGCGACTCGCTTCTCTTAAGCTCTTCTGTCTCCACCTCTTGATGCTTACTCTTCTTCCTCTTCGACTTTTTACCATCTCTGTCTTTGTTTTTTCCATGTTTTTTACTGTGTCGACTTCTAGATTCGTGCTCAGATTCGTGAGAGTGTTTCTTATGATTTTTGGAATGTTTTCCATGTTTGTGGTGACTTTTACGTTTCTTTTTACTTTTATGAGATTCTTTTGTTTCTTCCTCTTCATTTGGTTCTGGTTCTTCCTCTTCCTCGTCTTCTTCGTCAAGTTCGACTTGATCCGAGGAACTGGATTTCGGCTCAGCTATAACAAACGAATACGAAAATTGAATTTTGAAATTATATTAAAAAGGTCGTAAAAGTTAAAAAAGAACGTTAATTTCATTAGGAAAATGGAAGATAATATGATTGTCAAATTACCTTGTTCTGATTGAGATATTTTCTTCCTCTTGTGCTCTATGGGAGATTCACTTGTCTTAATCTTGTGTTTACGCGACGGCGTCGGCAGCTGGTACTCCACTGCAATTTCCTCGTCCGATGATGAAACTTGGTGAATGTACTTCTCTGTGAGGCGATCGAAAGCCGCTTGGAGATTATCCACCATCGTCGTATACTCTGTAAGATTTAGTTATAATACAATTATTCACTATTTTCTTTTCAAATTTGAAACAAATGATTTAGTGTTTAAACTAGTTTTTGTCCGCAACTTTGTCCTGGTGAAAAAAAAGCAAGTAGCCTTATGTTCTTCCATACAATTACATCTGGTGCCAAGTGTCATAGATATCAGCAATCTATTGTCGAAATTTTGATGTAAAATAAATTAAAACTGACCATTATCTTGTCCATTATAGAGACGACAATTATTCACAATCAATTTGAAGTCTGCTTTAAACATATTGAAGTCCGTATAGTATCCGGAGTCAAGTCTTTCTTCCATCTTACGTAGATCCATTGGGCGTCTGATGACCGCATAGTAGTTGGGAGCGTAGTCCTCCTCCACGGGGTCCATGAATGGCCAGGCATCATCATGAGCACTGAGCTGTTCCAGCACTTTGTACATATCAATTTGGACATCTTCGTCAGTTTGAGTAAATCTGGAAATAGACAAATTAATCTATTAACTCTTTTTAATCAATTAAGCGTAGATATTTTAACATAGTACTGTATCAAATTCAACTGTAAATATTAGCTATCCCTTCAGGTTTGCCTGGTTGGCAAATACATTTCTCATATCCTGTCTGTCATGTCCATACCCTTCTTACTGATGTATGATATATCCTATGTTTCTCCATGAGTGAGTTTTTGAAATCGGTTAAGTTGTTTTGGAATATATTCCATGCAAACAGCTAAATCTTACGTTTTTATAACATTACTATATATATATTAGAACACTTACATTTGTGATGTTTTTAATTTCTTCCTGGTACTATTAACAGGTTCCACATTGTCTGGTATTACAATTTGCCCTGTGGCAGAGGCTAAGGAATTGTTTGTCTTTCTGCCTGTCTTCACTGGGGGCACCGGTGGGGGGGAGCCCTTTCGCTTAGTGGTTGAATGTTTCGATTGTTTTTCTGTCTTCTTAGATTTTGAAACCTTCTGGGGCATTTCTTTTTCTTCACGATCTGAGCTGGAGTCAGATGAATCCGATGACGCGGATTTAGTCCTAATACAAAAGGGATAATTATATTTTTGTACATTTGGATGTGATATTTCATTAAAGCAAAAGTATAAGTGAGATTTACCAGCATGACTTACGGCTGAGTACTAAATACTACTGAAACCGAATCTTCAAAACTCACGAGTTTAAATGTGGTAATATCGAGCGTTCTACATAAGCTTAATTCTGACTATTAGTTTAACTGTTAAGTTAACGATCTTCCTACAACATCGACAGTAAGTAACTGGTTTACAATCAGTTATCCACCTACCTCAGTCGTTCCCTCCTCCTGGCCCTGGTATCCCGTGCAATCTGTGCAGCTTGGATCTTTCTACCGTTATCCCTGGCCTCATGAGCGCTGCGCTTTGTCTCCCGCTCCTTCTCTTGGATCTTCTGCAGCACACGGCTGGATGTACGCCTCGGTGCGTGTTCTAACAGCCTTTAATAAATATTACACACATAAGATTACCTTAGAATTTTCATAAAATATACTTAACAATTGTTGGTTTAATTGAAAAAAAAAATAGCACAGCTACACAATTGCTAAATGCAAAAGACTTTCCATCTATAAGAGCGCAATAGAGTCTTATATAGCAGGCAAAATCTATACATAATATCTAAGGTACAAATCTTTTATTGTTTGCATTAACAAAAAAAAAATTATCTTACATTTAAATAAATATAAAATAATTTCTCTTACATGGACAACATTAACAAATGAAAATAAATGACAGCTATCAGCCAAATAAAAAAATTGCTACTTTAAACATATAGTTGACGCAAGCATTGTGAAAAAATAAACATTGTTCTAGTAAGCAAGAAAAAGATCAACTGAAAAAGACTTGATGTTTGGACGCGAGGGTTATAATACAAGTGGAGGCAATTTATAACTGCTATAAAATGTCACAGAAAATTGATAAAAAACCCATATATGTTGAAAATATTTAAAATTCAATGATACACATTGATCAGAATGATAATTTATAAATTTATTCCTGATACATATTCCATGATTGTTGTGAAGCTGACAATGACAGACATTATCCTGGTTTAACTATAAATATTTAATTGTAGTGACGCAGGTACCAAAGTAAACAGATTTTCATTTTTATATAATTGTTTTACACAAAATATAAAAATTTGAGCTTCAAGTTAATCTGCAGTATTACAAATGGATAGATATAATAATATTTACCCGCACAGCTTTATAAAATGAATAGCTCTTAACACACCAAACATAGCTATAAAGCTTGACAACTTTTTTCTAAAATTGTTGTAATAAATGGAAACTGGAACTTCATTGTTTGGAGGACTTTGGTATTTAAATCCTTAATTTAAATGATCAAACAGGCTTATTATTGTGTAATGTAACATAAAACGGCTGGTTTTATTGATTTTGCATCCACTTCTATTATATTTCTGTTCAGATATTTGAGACAAGTTTAAAATCTTGCAAATTGTAAATGGAAGATTTGGAATGGATGGATGATTGTAGCTATGTAATCACAGAACAGCTAAATGAATCTATATAACATTTGGAATAGATATAAAATAACATAAATATGAATAATACATAGGCTACTAACACTTTCTTATTTCCACGCTCCCGATGTCGTGGGCGACAGCTAGTGGACAAATAAAAATGAACTTATCAGTATATATTTCCTTAATAACTTAGCACATAATAATTATTAGTATATCAGCCAGCTGTAGAAAAACCATTTCCCAGAAAAGCATAAGTCAGATTTTGCTATAATCTAATTTGCTTTATCTGCTTAACTCATGTTCTAAAATGTAGACTTTATTCACTTTACTAATAAATTGCACTAAACTTGTTCCTTGTTTGTATTAATTAGTTAAAACTGTATCAAATCACACAAGTATTTACTTCAACTGCAGTTTACATCTTAAGCAAATAAATTTCTTAAAAACAAGTAAAAAGAAAAACAAAACCTATCTATTAAGTAGTAAGAATTACTATATTCATAAAGGTATAATCTTAAAATGTAATTTGTGACATTATCTAGCTTTGGACATATTATTTAGCAGAATTTATAACAAGAATTTCAAGTTATAACTATTGATTAAAACAAAAACATATGCTGTGGCAAAAGGTACATTTTTATACATATTTGTAAAAAATTACACTTTAGCTTCAATTATGTTATATTTACAAGTATAAGTTAACCACCTTTTTCGCTGCAAGCGTTCCTTCTCATGGAATAGTCTTGGTATCTCTGGTAGAAAGTTCTGCGATAGAGAGCGATAAAGCTCCTTCTCAACCTTGCTGGTTGCTCTCCGAAACTTGTCTGTCAGGTGGTTCCAGTCATTCTCGGTGAAGCACACCACTTGCCACACTCGCACCGACACATCATCATCCAGCCAGTCATCACCATAGAACCACCCCCTCTTCTTGCCGTCACGACCTCTTTTCCTCCTGCCCCTCGACCTTGGCTTACTTATTACATCTTCTCGATATAATCTTGTCCCATAGAAGTACCAGTAAGCAGAATCATTATTGTCCCATCTAGAATTAAATTGCAACATTCAAATACTATTACCATCTGTAATGTTGTATATGAAGGTAAAATAGAAATACTATCTTACCCGAGCGGTTCAACTCTTAAACTTTCTGAGTCGAGGTTTCTGAATAGTTCGAAGACATCCTCTGAATCCAAGCGAAAGTCACACAATGCATATAATATTTCAACCTTTGTCCGGAGCGGCAAAAATTGAAAATCAATATCGGTGTTAAATGGATTGTAGCGGCCGGTTTCTTGACATTTTTGCCTGAACAGGCGTCTCAAATACATCTACAATGAAGTTCTATGTTAGCATCATCAATCAATAATGTTTTCATATAACATTGGATGGAAATAATTCAGTAACAGCTACCTGATAATTAAACGCTGAAATATCATTGCTGCCGTAACAGCCGTTTAATAAACGAACTATTAACTCTGTCAAAAGCGAACTCGCAGTTTCTTCTGTGCCATCTGTTAACAAGGCCTCCTCTAATTCCTGTAAAGCGAATTCCATTTAATACGCCATTATCACGCGAAAAATATATTTCAATACAAAACCTATAACATCGGCGCAATTGTCTCGGTCAATATTCAATACTCACTTCAATGTCAAAATCTAGAAGATTGAAAGCAGTTCTGAACAAGGAACAAAAATACGCGATACTTGGTACTTCCCACCATGATTGAATATCTGAAATCCGTGAGAAACTCATACAGACATCACTTTTCACTGTATTTTTGGAAACAACACTTTCGGTGCACCGTCTCACTGTAACTCACCCAAAATACTAATAAAAGATGGAAACATAACCTATAGCTATACGTATTCATCGATCACTCATCACACTATAGACTATTTTTTGCCATAGCATCGCTATATTTGAGCAGAAATTTTATCATGTTATAGTCGGTTTAATATACGCGATAAAACACAGATCCGAATATGCGTTGTGTATCAGAACACAAACGCCATAACAGTTTGTCAAGCAAACAATTCATGCACTTTATGAATTTAACTGAATTAATTGAAAGTCACATTATAGTTATTAGATACCAATAAAAGTTATTAATTATATTACATTTTTTGGATATAATTTTTATTATATTATATGCTTCTTTACATCAAAGTTTTTTATAAGTCCCAAATTGACCGTACTTTTAACGGAAGTAAATTTTGATGCTAACCAAAACCATAGTGTAAACAATCGATTCAACGGCGTTAGTTAAATATCGATGTTTGAAGTTAAATAAATTTTCTCTCACTTTGTAGAATTGTTAGACAAATATTTTGTAGTTATTTTTCTTCTACTTCTATAAAATGTATTAAATTTATTGAACGTTCGGTATATCTCAAGTTTTCTGTTTGAAATTTTTGCTGATACCAAAAAATACTCTATGGTTAATAGTGTAACAGGATACCTAACGAAGTTTTAATTTTTCTCTTATCGATCGACTGTTTCTAGGGCATCCAATGAGCGCCTGAATGTGCCTGGATCGACCTACTCTTCGTCCCTCACCGTGGGGTGAGGCGAGGGGTGACCCCAACTGAAGGACTATTGTTTCTCATAGGTGTATTCAATACGCTCGGCTCCACGTTCAATAGCTTATTAACAACAACATTTTATTAACATAAATATAGCTCACTGAGCGTGCTTAGTACTCTTAAATTAATTTTTTTTTCGCATTAAAAACAATCAAAGCCTTTAACTGTTTGATATGACGTCTGATAGAAATATATGGAATAGTAGCACATACTTGTGCACTGATCACATACTCTGGCACAAGGGCAAGATGATGATGATGGCGTTGAAAAACTTTTAACTTTTTCTTATCTATTCATTGTCAAAAATATAAATATTTTTAATTAGTCCAATAACGGTAAACATCTAAAGAAGGGATGCGTAGGAAGGGAAAATATTCTCTTGTCATATCGTTCTCTCTTGCCTCAAATCAAGGAGGATATCTGTGGGGAGCGGTATCTTTATTATTTCGGCTAAATCGAAATATTAGGGAAGAGAGAGGATAAGGAGTTGGCTGAGAAGAACGACTGTGGGATAAAAATTAAGGAAAATGAAAGTCGCAAATATCAGGAAGTTAAACAGTGGTTTCTTAAAACGCTTCCAACACCTTAAATTGCCTTTAATTTATATGATTGAATTCAATTTATAACGACTCTTTCTTCGTGGAATAAAAAAACAAAAGTGGGTAACCTATGTGTTCTTCCAGACTATCCTCTATATCTATACCAAATTTCATTGAAATCCGTTCAGCCGTTTAGGCTACAAACTGTAACAAACATCCACCCATCCATCCATCCATCTAAACTTTCGCATTTATAATATTAAAAATAAGTATAAGTATTAGCATTACTACCGAAGTTTTATATAGTTATTACTTAGATATGGCAATTTTATTCGTATTTCCGAAAATATACTGCAGATGTCTCTGCTGTGAATTTCACACCCCTACAAATGGGCAGGCAAAAACTATGGTTTTTATGTTGTAATTCGCTCATGATTACGGTTGGTCTCAGTGGAGAATTTTATAACTAATAATAGTGATAGTTATAACTATTATTAACATTAAAAGGTGCGTTTCAATCGAAAACAAGAAAAATCTGTCGTTTCTAAACAATCATCTATCCATTTAAACAGGTCGGTGGCCTTGCATTTGACTTACTGTGACATATAATCATCTGTCAAATTAATAGCAACTACAATATATAGTCTACAGCAGTATTTTTAATTTTTTAAGAACAAACTAGTAGATTGTAACATAAATAAGAAACGAAATAGTGTTATAACATTGTTAACCACAAAGCTAAAAATATTAACAATGAAGTGTGGTAATATCCGTAGTATTGTAACGAAAACGTCGATGAATAACTTTAGTTGATATCACCAATCGATAGCGATCGTTCGGTTGCTAATTTAATTTGCTTCTATTAATTCAAATTCAATCAAAGTATCATCACCGAGTACTGTTATCAGTTCTTTGTGTAAACCGTTTTGAGTTGGTTTAAAATATTAGACCTTTACATTTCATTAAATTAATTATTATCATATTTGTGTACTTCGAGATAACCTCAGCATTTTTCTGGCCACTTCCACATCGTATTTTTTATTTGCAGTTCGTGTAACGCTGTATGAATTATAGTTTCGCGATTTCTATGTAAAATATGGTGCTTTAATTATTTTCAAAAAAATATTAGTGAAATATGCGATTTTTTTTTCGACCGAAATGCCACGGGATATTCTGAGTGAAAGTTTAGCTGTCCTCCGAATTATTGAGGTAAGATATTTGGTTTAAGAATATGTTACAACTAGCGATATTTTAAAAGTAGGTTCCATCAATAAAATTAATCCAGAGCAATCAATATAATATTCATTCTATCAAGAAAATTTAAACCAAAAGCTAAACAAATATATTTGGATAAGTCAAAATGATATGCTATAAGTTATTGAGTCTATAAATTTGTCTATATTTCACGATGAGCAACAAATGCTCACCATTTTCTTGTTTGTTCTTGATTTCCTAGGATGGAAGTTACAAACATGGTATTAGTGAAACAAGTTTAATTAAAAAAAAAAATTCTTATATTTTCTGTATTGCACACCAGCTATATTTTTAGCTACTAATACAAAAGAACAGTATTGGGTTTGTATCTAAGTGGATTTTGTTTAATTGTTAATATTTTCAAGCCTCAAGGTTATTTTCTTTTGTCCAAGGTTACATAACCCCGTTGCCCGCCCATACATGTACATTTTTAAGACTTGGGTCGAGTACTTTAATTGGTGACTAGGACTTCTTAGTGTGAATTCGTCGAAGATACATCTTTAATTCCTGCGTAAATATGTCTAAATTGCATCTTAATAACATCAGATAATCTATTCCCATGGTAAAATTACTCAACTTTGATATATCCCATTGTTACAAAGAAGTACTTTATTTTTATATCAAGCTATGTTTATACTATTATTAGAATTGTCTATTGTAGAACCTTGATAACTCAAACCTCGGTAACTTAAAAACCTCTATATTATGTACTTCAAAAAGTAATATGTTCCCTTCCCATCAGAGACCAAAACCTCTATAACTTAAAATACACCACCTCTTTAAGAAGTAATCTACCAATACCATGAAATTGTTTGTCAATTAATAATTTTGAACAAATGTGCAAATCAAAAGGTTTCGGTATTTATTGTTTGTACGATCATTTATAGACCAATGTACCAACATAAAAGGTAATGTATTCTCCTCTCTATTTGTCATTGAAAATCATTTAGAAACTGTGAATTGTTCAAAATAAAAGATCACAGATTATTTTAAGTAAACTAAACCTGCAACATGCAATGTTAAACAAAATATGATTATATAAATTTCAATCACCACCAATTCTTCTGATGTATCAAGTAAAAATAGAAACAAGGGTACATACATAGATATACGAGTATGTCCCTCTACCTACCTCTATATAAACCTATCTAAAACACAGACCCTTGATAACTTAAAACCTTTTTAACTTAATATATTTTGTGTTTACATTGGACTTTATCTTATCAAGGTACTACTGTATTACTGACCCGTACAGGATGTAAAAAAAGTAGTCTAAACAATTCTATGAAGGAACCTTTGTTATTAGTTCCTTATCAGCTGGAGATTACTGGGAAGTGTTTGCATTGAACCTCCTCTATTAATACCAAATAGATGTTTAAATTCCTCAGTCAGTCTAATCTTACAAATATTATAATTGCAAAAGGTTAGATGGATGGATGAATGGATGTTTGTAAGAGGTAGCCTAAATCTCTGGCTAGGCTAGAAGAACACATAGGCTACTAGATTTTTTTTAATTCCATGCGGTTAGAGTCTTGGGAGAATGCCTATTTATATATTTTCCTTTATTTATTTATAGTTAATAATATATCGTATACAAGGGAAGTCATGGTTTAGTAAATATATATCGGTTGTGATGTGATAAAGGTGGGTATGATAGTGGTTATGGAGTAAGTTTGTGTTTGTACAAAACATTTATGTATGTAAAAAATCTATTAATATTAAAATGAATTAAGACATATGTAACCTAACATTTTTGCTGTAAAACTAATTATGTTGAGATTTTTGAATGTGAAGGTGATAGAAACAGATATGTAGTGGCGTTGTCTAGGAATATTTTGATATCTAGATGTATGTAAATCAGCTTTGAACCAGCTCTAAAGTTCAGGTTAGATTGAAACATAAATTCCGGCTCAACAACTGAGCAGATCATATTCCAGACAAGTAGTATAAAATTATTAAGGTGAATAGTGAAAGGTCCTTGATTTATATTATTATTTTATTTTCTTTACCTTCCCATTGTCTTTTTATATAGTCTTTGTTTTCAATTTGATTGAATTGTTTACTTTAATATGAAGTAAATTGTTTTTTTTTTTATCTACCTCTACTGGTAGAGTATTAAATTAAACAAATTCATTTCCTAAAACTTGCTTTAATTAACAAGACGACTTTTGTTGAAATTTAAATAATTTATATTGATATTTGGTACAAATTTAAATGTTTGTGTTTTCTCGGGAGTTTGTTTTTATAAGTTTCATTACTATAGTGTTTTTTTTATAAAAACATGTTCTATAAGATATCTGTTATTACAACTCATTGCTGTTTGTTTTTAATTTATCTTTCCTATTGCATGTGTTACTCATTTTTCTCAGGCCTTAGTGTTGGTAGGACATATAAAAGTGATGTGAGGATAAATGTGTCACTATAATTATCTAAGTGATGTTTGCAGTTATATTATCATTTATTTGTATTTGTACATTCCCGGAGCTACTCGTGCAAACAGTGATAATTGATTGTGAACATTAAATGTACAATTATAAATATCTTTTAGTAACAATAAGATATGTAAGGAATTTACAATTTTTTTCTTAATGTTACCGAGTGATGTTTGATACAAGATTAGTCAATTTAATCAAGAACATTTGTAACAGAACTGGTAATGTTATGTACTTAAAATCATTGCAGCACGAAGATGAAGAGTGTTGGCCCTTGGAAGACAAAGCGCCAGTTTGTAAACAAGCGAACAAGAAAATTGTCAATCCCGCTCCGAGCTGCCAGAAAGTTATCACTAAGGATGACAATGCCTGTTATTTTAATTTAGGGTAAGTACTTTTCATGCAAAACAGATTGTTGTTTATTAGCACTGCAACTAATGTCTTGCTATGATTTGTCTTATCAAATGTAGAACACAGTGTTATTCAATGAAATACTTTAAATAGATATATCTATTTGTCCTTGTACTATATTTAATACATCGTCGTAATAAGAGAAATGTTTTATTCAGCCATGGAGATGGAACAAGCAATCGTCAGCAAGATCCAGTGTACAAATACAAAACTAACAGCTTGCCAGCGGCATCTTCCATCAATCAGTCCTGGGACGATATAGTTTGCTCTGCGTTGCGTATATCCCCAGAGGACATAGCCAATCAGTTGTCGCTCCTCGACCTGGCCTGCTTCAAGGCCATCCAGCCCGAGGAGCTCACAACCTGCGGCTGGAATAAACGCAACAAGCTCACTGTTGCCCCCAACGTCGTTGCCTTTACTAAGCGCTTTAATAGGGTAATTATTTTTTAAAAATTATCGTGCATATGTTCGCAATGCTAAAGTCAAGATAATATTGTGAATAATGAAAGTAAAATAAAAAATAACATTGAAAGTCTAAACATTTTTGGCGTCTAAAAATATACCTCTATTATAAAATTTAATTTAAGAAAAAAACTGCTTTAGGAAATACATTTTTTTTATCTTATTGCTTGCTTTATAGTTATATATAAAAAGTTCTAATGCAGCTTTTTGTCTTAGGTGAGCTTTTGGACAGTTCAAGAGATACTAAACGGACAGTCGCCGAAGGCGCGGGCGGAGACTTTAGCTCACTTCATAAAAGTCGCGAAGAAACTGCACGAACTTAACAATCTTCATTCGCTCTTCGCTATCATCTCTGCATTAAACAGCGCAAGCATATACAGGTATTTATTGACTTGAATAATAATTTGAAACATTTTTTACATTTGAGCAAGATTTTCCTATCTTCTACTGCCAATCTAAGAAACCTTCTCACCGGATATTTAAGACTTTCGAGTCTAATTGTAAGACTATTTATTAAGTTTTTAAACTGTTTTCGTAAATACATAAATAATGAATTGACTAATGAAATGATTATGTATATTTAGAACTGTCTGCTGCTCTAATCTAGGTCACTAGTTCTGCGATAAATTACTATTAATAATGTTTAATTAACTCTTATCAGGTTGACGAAGACATGGGCGTGTTTGTCGAAGAAAGATAAACAGCAGTTCGACAAAATGGCTGAATTATTTGGCGAGAAAGACAACTGGTCAGCTCTAAGGGAATATCTCCGCTCTATCTCGCTGCCTTGTATACCCTACCTTGGTGAGTCGATTGTATGTACACATTTCTAAAACTTAACTGTATTTTTTAGATTTTATTATTATGATTCTTGTTTTTTATGCAAGTCAGTTATGTTAGTACTTTCAAGACAGGTTTTCATGCATTTACAAGCAAATGCTGCTGTGCGTAGAAACTTTGCAGTTGTGTGAACTATTAAACATTTACATGTGTTTTTTACGTTTTGTGTGACGTCTTATTTTAATCCCTTTTTCTTTCTAACCTTTTCTTAAAAGGAAAGGATGGAAAAGAAAATAGACACACAGGAAAAGGAAATGTCCTGTTTATGTGCGTCTCCTCCTCCGTCAATGAGGGGCAGGAACGCATCTGCGATTGCGGATGTTTATGGGTAGCAAACGCTTCGCCATTTCGCTTGTTTTCCACCTTATGTTATTAAAAAAACGTCAATTATGTACCATTTTAGGTATATTTTTAACGGACTTGGTGTACATCGATATGGCACATCCTGCGGAGTCTCCGCACCGCGCTGCCAAAATGGCGGTGGTTTTACGCACTCTGCGCCGCTACCAGGCGTCACAGTACGACACGCCGCACCTACTTCATGTCGCTGCGTTCCTCAATAGCGTACGATACATCGAGGAGTTGCAGAAGTTCTTAGAGGATGATCAGTACAAGTCAGTACAACCTTACTTAATGACAACACTTTACTAGCTTTTGCACGTGAAATACGCGCGGAATAAAAAAAAATTAGTAGCCTATGCGTTATTCAGATTTTATCGAGATTCGTTCCACAGTTTAGTCGGCATAAAACAAATATCCATTGATGTAAATTTTCGCATTTATATAAGACTAGCATTCGCTTGCGACTGTGTCCGCGTAGAATAAAAAAAAACAAAAGTGAGTATCCTATGTGTTCTTCCAGACTATTCTCTACATCTGTACCATATTTCACCGAAATGCGTTGAGCTGTTTAGGCTACAAACTCTAATAAACATCCATCCATCTAAACTTTCGCATAATAAACATCCATCCATCTAAACTTTCGCATAATAAACATCCATCCATCTAAACTTTCGCATTTATGATATTAGTTAGATTAGTTAGATAACCGTCAAATATTGAAACGATATTTAAATATTATGTCTTAAATGGTAACACTTTTCCAAAGTGTTTAGAGAAGACAGTTTAAAGTATGTTTCAGTATTGAGCTGTTATATTCCTTCACGCGACATGCCTTTAAAAGCGCTTAATAAGGTTTTGTTTACAGCCATACCAAGCAAACATTTCATGCTTAGTTTTACCTTGTGTTCCAATTTCCATAACGATATCACTTTTAAATTAGTTTTCACATGAAAATGCAATTATCCTTGTATTACAATGTACGTAGTCTGCGTATCGAAGAGAAATGTTCCAAGGAAGGGCTTATCTTTTATTTATATTTAACGTTTTATATACAGATCGATTATACATACTTCATACAAAGTAAAATCTCTTATAGTGCGACCAAGTTGTTTGGTCCGGTGGGAATAAAATGCCAAGAATAGCCAAATAAAAGTCTACTAGTGTTGTCCTGTCTACATCACTTTTTTTTTTTTACAAAATACTTGTATTATCAATGTCTTCATTTTTTATTTTATGTAATTTTATATGTTTTTTATTATTTATCTGCTTAAGAAATGCCTCTTACCGGACCAAATAGCTAGTCGCACTATACATAATTTATAGCAATATGTGGCGTCGTTTTAATTGTAATAACAAGATATGCCTACGCGCGGTATAGTCAAAATATTAAATTCGTATCCCATTTTTAAAATATCACAAACGACCTAAATGCCGTAAGATCATCATTAGGGGGCTTCCTTAGTGACCACTTTATTAGTGTGAGTCGTTATGATTCGTTTTTGACTTAATTGTAAGATGAGAGTCAAAATTGAATTAAAATGGGTAGGAGATTAACATCCTTGACTGTGACAATGTTTACAGCAAAATGATAAGCAGAAAGAGATGCAGGGGGAGGGTTTAAGAGGGGGTGGTTAAGTACTAATATGACTAAGATAAGGACATAAAAACAATCATGCCTCATTTGTTTTGTTTATTCATGTTACATAAATAACAACAATTCACACTCATAGATGTTTCGAGATTAGACGTTTATATAAAACGCACTAGCGGTTGTCGGTGACTTCGTTCGCGCTGTCACAAAAAAATGCGAACATATAGCTAATTTCTAAGTTTTTTTTTTAATTCCTCGCGGAAGGAGTTGTAGGTGAACGCAACTTTTAGTATAGATCACTTCCTCAATGTTTTCGTACAACAAACTAACGACTACCCATGACTTTGTTCGTTTAGTAACGCGAATGTAAATGAAATGTAAACTTTTATACTATGTATGAACTGTACAAAGTTTTTGTAATAACGGATGCGATAACCATATTTATTTTAAGAGTTAAAATTTCCATTAGCATTGCTTTCGATATGCGTAAAGTTATTCTGATTCACTGTTTTGATAAAACTGTTATTTTATATTATGACGTTATGTATTGCGATATCTCTTATCCTAACTATGTCGTGTGGGGTCAGCTTTCTTTGGTAATTACATTTCTCCCTATCCTCGACATTTATATTTAAAACCATCGTTGTCTTCAAACATTGTTTAATTATAAATATGCATAATGATGTTTTTAACGCAAATAAACGTATGAAACAATTGCTAATTAGATTTTTTTTTGATTTTTCAGGTTGTCATTAAAATTGGAACCACCGTCTCCTTCGGGCAGCCGTACTAGCTCCAAGGAGTCGGTAAAGGAGTGCGCGGCTTCGACAGTTGGGGGCTCCGCGTGTGTTGCGGCGGCGGGCTGTGCGGGTGCTCCGCCCTCGTTGCTCTCTCCGTCCCATCGCCTCGGCTGCGGTTCTCTACGTCTGCAAGCCCCCTTCCAACCTAAGTTCATACCGACACATAGGAAGTGCCGCTCTCTTGGTTCCAAGTACGTATAGAGGTTAAATATCTTGGTGGTGTTGACCAATGTTGGCCGCCAAGACTTATGTTTACGACGATATCTCGTAATCTAATTAATCGTCCTTTAAATTAATTCGTAACGCTGGTTAACAGTTATGCGATTTGATATTTAATGTTTTAACTAAATGTGAATGAACGCATGTTACATCGACATTATTATAGTCGATGTGTTGCCGTGCCCCCATGCCTTTTGTGCCCCCCTTTGCCTTTCGTGCCCCCTTTGCCTTCCGTGCCCCCTCATTTCTCTCGTGCCCCCCTCATGCCAGCTGTCTATTAGTTATCTGTTACACGTAATTATCATTGTTTTCTGTTCGTAAAAGAGATGAGATTGTCTTTATAGAACACTTTCTATTAGTTAGCTTGTTAATGTTTTTCTTTCAATTTATTTTTATATGTCTAATTTATATTTAAAGACATTCTCGTTTCTGGCGATCCGTCGTTCACACGTAAATGTATTGAAATTCAAATTATATTGAAACGTTATTTTTGCCCGTCACTGGGCACTTAGGTTTCGTAGCGCGAGTTTGCCAAGAAATTTTCACAAGGTCAATTTTGGTGTTGGGTGAGTCGATTTGTATTGGAATTAGTACGACGGCTTGCATTTGTTGTTGCGTAGTTGTAATATAGCACAGCATGCGAAGGGACACGCCGGGTGCCGCGGGCGCGCCTGCTGCCTTGAGAAGGCCCGACCGTAGCTACCAACAGAACAATTTACCCCTTTATATAACCTTTGTATCACTGACATATATGATACTAAGGCTTTTGACCGTATTATACAATTTAAAGCAATTTTTTCTACATTTCACTTTCGTACTTATGAACAAATATATTTGGAATTTTTTCAATGTATGATGAGGATACAAGAAACGTAAGAGTCATAATTAAATCTACATTTTCACATCGCCTCTCTGTCAAAATAATGACAAACAGCCGGATACTGAAACGAATTTTAAATACTTTGCTTTTTCGATTTTTACATAGAATTTGTAGTGTTTGTCTTCATATCGAAGACGTTACATATTTAAATTTCGTTTCAGTATTGGAATGAATCTTCACGAAGACTCGTTAAAAACAGCAGTGTCCGTAATGTTCTATCGCATATTTTAATATCTATCCTAGCTTTGCTTTCTCCACATAAAATGATTAAAATCAGTTCTTAAAGTAAACAATTTTATTAAAGAGTCAATGCAAATAAAAGTCTCGTAACTCCAAGATGTCAAATCCGACTGAATGTAACAATATACAGCGGTACTTATCTATAAACTAATTATTTACATGTACCGTTATTGTATCGTTAGGGAAATCTTCATTATATCTACCTAATAAATTACAGTTAGGCTCTTCGAAAGAATGCTATATTTTATTGAATTTACTTCTTATTTTGTTCGGCAGTGTTATTTCAGCTCTGCATTATATCATAAACATATTAACGCAAAATTGCATGGATTTTTAATGCTAGTGCGACTTTAGTTTTTAATAATCCAAGCTTTGGTCATGGTCATAGGTAATTTTACATGATATAACGTACATAGGAAAAGGAAATGTCCTCTTTATGTGCGTCTCTTCCGTCAATGAAGGGTAGGCAGCGCATCTGTAATTGCGGATGTTTAAAGGCAGCGGTCGCTTTGGCCGATTGCTCCCTTGCCACCCTGTAGTATTAAAAAAAAATCACAACTCCTATTTATGAATCCTCGCACATCCCTTCATTTAGAACAACAACTAGAAACTTAGATTAGTTAGCTTGATTGGTTTTATTTGGCAAGTTATTTAAGCATTAATACCATAATAAAAATCATAATTTATTTAAATCATGTAACATATATTACACTCTACCTTTTGCCCGCCACTCCGTCCGCGATGTATTAAAAAAACAAAAGTACGTGTTCTTTCAGATTATCGTCTACATATGTGCCAAATTTTACTGAAATCTGTTCAGAAGTTGAGGCAACAAACTCTAATAAACATCCATCCATCTAAACTTTCGCATTTATAATATTAGTAAGATATTTTTTTTTTATTTTATTGGACAAAAATATAAATTTAAAAAATAAAATACAGAAATATTATAAGTGGTACAGAAACCCACAGGATTTATGTGTAACCACTGGTCGCTTAGTTTATAAAATATAAAAAAATAATAAAGAAACTTAGACTATTTTACTCACTCAATTGAATATTAACATTGTCAAATATTTATATCCTAAACACTAGATCTAATTACTACATGACTGAATGCCGGTTACGTGTGCACAGCAAATATCCCATGATCGGGCAGTCGGGATCGTGTCATTTAGATCTCTTAGGATGTTGTTGATACTCTCCCGAAATCTGCGTAAAAGTGAAGCCGTGTGTCCGCAATATGGCATTAAAGCCAATCCGCGTATGCATAATGTTTGCAACGGATCAACATTAGTATCGAATATTCGATCATGGCAATAATTCGAAAACATAATTGGATATCGTTCGTTTTAAATAATCTGGGCTCTAACATCTAGGATTGTTTTTTATAATTTAAAAGTCGAATGCTATAAAAACGTATTTTGTTATCTATGTTTTCGGGTTTAAGATATCGAACAGAATATAAATGTAGTACTCTCGTTCATATCTAAAGCCTAACACGATGTATACAGCTTTTATGCCGGCCATTTTTGTTTCTGTTTTTTTAGTTATTTTGTAAAAATTATACAACTAAGGTGTGACTACAAATGTATTGGAATTTAAGTATAAAAGGGTGTGAGGTACATTGTAGTTTGTCTATGCTTTGGATTGGAATTTTGTTTCTGTTGTGTTGTGTCAGTTTATGCTTCAATAACATTTTTATTCCATGCATGAAAAATAGCTTTGTGCTTACTACAGTTCCTTGTCAAAATAAACTCCATCCTTACAATAATAAATTACTGGAGGAAATGTATAGTGTAAATTTAATTTATCACCACACTATTTGGTGAGCTGTTTGCTTACCAAAAAAGGTCGCTTTAACGTAGACGTCCACTGCCGTGACTTATATTCCTTTGTTGACAGACTACACTATGTTATGATAATTGTCACTGTAGTCGAATTCTACTTTTATTTAGTATATAGTGTATATAGGATGTTTATAAGTTCAGGTTGTGTTAAGGGTATTGTTGGCAGCATCTTCGGCAAGGGGTCCGGGCAGGGGGAGGAGCGCGAGGGGTGCGCGGGGCAGACTCCCCCGGGCTCCGTCAACCTACTTGACGACACGCTGTTAGAGGCGCCGGTCTCCGGAGCGGCGACTCCGCCTACTGGAGCCCTGCATAGGTACGTTGGTTAACAAACTCTTGAACCTTTCAAATTATTGTATATTTTTAGGTTCTTTTGTTATAGAATAAAATATTTCGTGTTACAGTGAGCTGTCGAACTCTGTGCCTTTCAAATGCGACTTTGAGAGCTACGTGCGCAGGAAGACGGTGCTGAAGGATGGGAGGAAGATATCTCTGTCGTCATGGCAACGATTTTGGTTGGAACTCGCCGGACCCGCTCTCGTCTTTTATGCTTCCAAGTCATTTAAAGGGTTGGTGAAAACTGTACTCTATACTATTATTAGAAAGAGGAAAGATTTGTATATTTGATCTTTGATTTTTATTCAATTCGTAAAAATTACTAGACCGATTTCAAAATTCTTTCACCACTAGAAAGATAATTTATCTGTGAGTAACATAGGCTATGTTTTTTATATTTCCTTAATTTCACGCGGACAAAGTCGCAATTAATACCTAGTATATTATAGTCTAATTTATAATGAACCAGTAAATAGCTGAAATCTGTATTTCCCTTATAATAGAGCTCGTTTCTAAGTTGATTTGTATTTTAGGAGTAGCCGTAGCGACTTCAGGTCGGAGCGGTGCAAGGTGATACCGCTGTTGGGATGGACAGCCGCGCTTGAGGCTCCAGACTGCTTCCAGCTGCTGCACCGCGCCGCCGGCACACTCTACAGGTTCAAGTGAGTACAAGTCACGCTTTTACATCTTCGCACAAATGTGTCGGCTTGCCCTCCGCAATACCACGACCACACAAGACAGGCGTGAAGTGGGAGTAATTCCGCGTACAGTCTGATGAGTATGGTGTTGGAGGCCCAACTTTAGCCCCTTTCCCTTTCCACTGGTTTTCTTATACGAAAAGGTTGGGAAGAGAACGTGGGTTTTACGGTGCAGGAGACGCATAGGAAGAGGAAATATCCTATTTATGTGCATCTCCTCAGCGTCATTTTGGCGGATTGAGGTGGCATCTTGCTCGTTTGCCACCTTATGATATATACACACACCTCACCATAAGCAACTCGCCCATCACATACTTCACACCCTCACGAATCTCTTGCTGACACCTCACGAATCTCTTGCTGACACCTCACGAATCTCTTGCTGACACCTCACGAATCTCTTGCTGACACCTCACGCATCTCGCCCACCATTTGCAATATGCCCATCACACACTCACGTCCTCATTACATCCATTCCGACCTCACACACCCTATTTTCTCGTTTTTTCGTACATCTCATACACCTCACGCACCTCTCGCGGTATACGTATTGTTCTAACACTTTCTACAAAGTCAACAATACTGTAGCGACAAATAATTTTTCCATAGTCGTCATTGAAGTTTAGTTTACATATTAAATTTAATAATAAAGACAATCTGTATTGGTACTTACGATAGCAACACCCGGCTTCGGAGACCATCAACATATTCATTTTTTGCAACAACAATGAATTGTGCAAGGTAATAAATCTGTACTAATATTATAAAGAGGAAAGATTTCTTATTTTTGTATGTATTGATATAACTTAAAAACTACTTGGCCGATTTTAAAAATTCTTTCTCCGTTAGAAAGGTAATTTATCTGTGAGTAACATAGGCTATATTTTTTAAATTCATGCGGGCGAAGTCACGAGGAACAGCTAGTTAATAATAAAGAAATTTCTTTTTAAAAAGACCATTATAAACCGGCTGCCTAACAGTATGCCACCTACACAACTATCAACCTCACACACCTCAAGTATTACACTCGCACGCTCACCTCAAGCAAATTAAGCATATAAATGATGTTCCGATCTTACTATTTATTTTTACTAATTTACTAAGCAAATTATTATTGTTTCATTATTCATCAATTTGCCCTTATCCCTTAAAGAGGGTCGGCACAGTATGTGCTGCTCTTCCATACATCTCTATTAGCCATATCTGAATCCACTCCTTTCTTAACCATATTCTTATTATTTCCTTATTATTTAATCTAATTTAATATCTTTAGTTAGAGTTAGAGCGTCGGTGGCTCAGTGGTTTAAGCACTTGACCTGTAATCTACAGGTCTTGGGTTCGAATCCTGCCATGTACCAATGTGATTTTCGATTTTCGAATTTTCATATGTACATAATTTAACCGACGTTCTTACGGTGAAGGAAAACATCGTGATGCACATATTGGTGAAGAAATTCAAAGATATGTGTGAAGTCAACCAACCCGCACTTGGCCAGCGTGGTTGACTAAGGCCTAGTCACCCCTGATTAGGGTAGGCTCCGAGCCCCTCGGTGGGGACGTATAGTGAGCTGGTGATGATGATGATGTGATGATGATATCTTTAGTTTATTGCAATAAGAAACTCGAATGTAATTTTGTTACAGGACGGGGTCAGAGAGTGTAGCGAAGCAATGGGTGGTGAAGATAGAGGAGGTGAATAACAGAAGTGAGAAGCCGCTGCCAGCAAATCTTATGTCGTTCGAGTAACGCTCATCGCCTTATGTACTTTATTACTTAAGTGGCGTGGAAACTTACTCTAGTGTCACACGGGAGTGGTACTGCTGCTTGTACCGCATTACACTCTGTGTGATACAAGTTAGTTTATCGTCTGTACTGAATCGCTACGTTTGCGTCCTCGAAGCAATTGAATATTTTAACAATATGAGCTGAGGTGCTCAATTTTTTTAGCCAAAGAAGTACTAATTGTTATGCACAAAATGTACGCAGCTATTTGCGTTTGAATTTGTGTTTCGATTGTTGTGATACTTGTTTTGAAACATACAGTCGAAACCCGTAGTATCGCCCTACATCGAAATATCACTCGCGTTGCATTTATAAGATGTTTTTTCCTGTAGCAGTAAATGGCGGGTTTTTTAGATCTCTGGAAAAGTGATAAGCTAGAAATCTCAGTTGCTACAGTCTTAATTTCTCTTTTAATTGGGTTATAATGGTTTTGTTTTTTCAACTCCCACCGTTTAGTTTTTTTAATACTCTTTCGGATGATGTAATGGTTTTTTTTTTGTTAAATCGATGTTTAATTTTCACTAATAGGTTAATGTATTCATCCGCCTAATGCTTTAGCTGATTGCTAAAGATAATTTTCAATGTTATGCGTTTTTGTATCTGCTTGATATGGCGTATAAACTGCATTATGTAACATTAGTTATTTAATTACGTGCTATATCAAAGTAGAAACCTTTATTTCCAAACCAAATTGTACAAATATCACTTTTTGTTTGTTCTGAAGTCTATCTATATGCAGATAAAGGTTTGTTTGAACAAAATACAGACGAACAAATCGTTTTTGCCAATATAGATTCTCATTCGTGTTTAAGTTAGTCATTATGTTACTGATTGAATGTGAACTCCGTCGGTTTATAATCTGACTAATATATGATATGATATAGCAATATCTAGTCGGATTAAAAACTGTCGAATTTAACAATTAATCGGTATAATTTTGTTTATTTAATTTTATTTGTACTGGGGCCTAAACATATATGTTATTGTTAATAAATTGTATTGCCTTATGTCGTAATGTGCCGTGTTTTAGAGATCTATAAAAAATATATATTCACTATAAGATATATATTCAAAGCGATAGTTTAATGATCAAATATAATATGTTTAACAGTGATATATGATAAATAAAAAACAGTGCTATTATTATATAAGAAGTATTATATTTTTAGTTTTTTAACTTGCCCAGATATTGGTTTTTTGAAATTGCCTGTTATAAATGTTAAAATATAAAAATTAAAGCAATAAAACTTTAGTTGGAAGAAAAATGAAAAGTTACTAATTTTAAGAGGGGGAGATAAAAGAATCTATTAAGTATTAAAATCACAAAATAGGGTATTCCCTTAATCGATCGTCCCAATGGGAAAAAGTCCCAATTGTCAATCGATTATTGACCTGATCGACCCAATGGGAAACACAAAACAAAATATAAAAATACTCAACTTTTTAACATGTAGCAATCGTTTCGAATAAATTACGTCCTTTTATAACATTTTAAAGAGAAATTCAGATTTCTGTTTCACCTTTCAGATGCTTTTTCCTCTAAATCCAGATCAAAAGATCGTGTAGATTTTTATTATCGATTTACTTGTGTAAAATTTCCTAATAATCAGATGGAATTTCATATTTAACCTTCCTTATTAGTAATTTAATAAAACCAGTTCCTAGAATAATCTTTTTGTAATTATTGGTACATTAATTTGCGATATTGAAAAAAAATATATATTTAATAGGTCTGAAGTGTTCAAATAAAATAAATATCGGACTAAGACAATATTTGGGTTTTTTGTAAATTATTGTTAATTGCCTTTTGGTAATTTTATAGGTAAATATGCAGTTTTAAATTTATTATTCCACTTGTTACAAATGTAATAGTAATCTGGAATAATCCACGACCAAAATGACCGCAATTGTCACAAATGTTTATTAGTAGCAAAGTTAGTTTAAATTTGATGAAAGTAGACATAATAATGACAATATTAATGTAGTAATTCAACAAATATAGAAATCATTATTATTTTAATTTCAAATGAATCTATAATTATATGAAAAATGATATCTAAATACTATTCGAACTATAGATTTTTTTAACGTAAAAATCTGTTAGTGTTAATACAATCCCAATGGTCAGGTTCCAGTTAATTCGTATGCATGTTTTGAATATTATAAAAGCTTTGTGAATGCGATTGTGTAGTGTATGTGCCTTGCGCCAGTTCAATAAATATCGAATTAATTTATTGTGGTTTTAATACAAAATACCCTTAGTATGTGTCATGGATGGGGCAAGGGTTGACGCAGCTAAGAAAAATCAAGAAATGCTTTAAGAATTTTGAAATATAACATTAAATCAAAATACTGAGGTGTATAACACAGAGGAACTTAAACAGATTAGGTACTTAAAAACGACTACTACGTTGTTCTTTACAAATTATACCTCATGTCGGATAAGCGTTAACTTGGGAATAAAAAAGGATTTTTACTTCTAGCCTCCCCTTCATAATCATCGACTTACCCACCCCCCCTATACCATAAGTTGGCGACGCGACGCTCCACGCTTTTCAAGGATTTTAGTTTATTTAATTGAAATTGAAAAGATGTTGTAATGCGTGATTAATGGGATTTCGGGGTTGGTAAGCAAATCGATTTTACCAATGAATCACGAGTATTTAATCAACATTGTTAATATATTAAAAATTGGCCTTTAAAAGTACAAATATGAAACAAAATGCGTCGCCTAGGCGACCCTTAGAAAATTGAAAAATCATTTTTCATACAATGCTATAAATGTGAAAGTGTGGACGGATATTTATGAATACAAATCTTCAAAAAGGTGTAGTATCTCTTTGAAATTTTGCACAGTTGAAGAACGTAGTCTGGTAGAAAAGAGGGTACTATTTTTTTTTAATTCCTCGCAGACAGTTGGAGAGGGCTAGATATAAATAAATATAAAATTTACATCGAATATGAACATGTTTATGGTAGCTGCCCCTACTCTGGTGTAGAACAGCTAGCGACGCCCGTGTATGGAAGTTTCTAGCATTACACGTGTTTTCCGAGATAAGTAATGCAAACTTAACCTTTCTGTAACCTGAGTCTTCATAAACTATTAAAGAGAAGCTGAACAACAAAGTTACATTATCTATATCTTGATATTAACAGTGCACTCGAACAATGTTGCTTTATTTAACTAGAATAGCTATTGTAGTTGAATAAAGCCATATCTATGGTGACAATGGTGTCAAGGGTGACATTGTAAATAAAAGGCAGCATAATTTTTTCTACAAGATGAGATCACTTCCTCTTATAAATAACCTAAGATGGGATCATTCGATAAAATGGCGCGTGTTAGGTATGTTATCGGTACATCGTGAATATCGCCTGTTTAAAATGTAACTACCTAGTCAAATTATAAAGTCTCGACATATTGCTGCGCAGAAAACAACAGTTAACGTAATATAACATTTACAAGGTAACCAAAAACAATGAACTTACTAATGAATTCACTTGATATGATATATGTTGCGTTTTTACACATTGTCTAGGCAAATTAAAAAAGGGAGGCGTTCACGTTTTACCGGTGACAGATGTACGTTACCATAGAGATACCTCGACAAACTCAATGACAAATGTTTTTATGATATCAAAGTTGCTTTTAGATATTTGTCAAAATGTCTACAAATGACGACAAGACGAGACTATCAAAGCTTCTGCAAGACCTGGAAGTACCTGAAGAAAGGCTGCCAGAGCGGTGTCGGCAGCTGGTAAAGGATTTGCAGGAGAAGTTTCCTGAGGAAATAACAGACGAACAAAGTAGGACCGAGGGTGAAGAGTATGTGAACCCTTACATACCCGATAAAGGTCTATTAGAAGAAAACGAGAGAAAGTTACGCGAATTACTTGGCGAGGAAAAAAGGTTAGATTCGTATTCTTTGATCATTTTTAAATTAAAAAAGTAAAACATGTAAAATAAAACTGCTTGGGTATTCAATCAAGGTAGATAAAGATTATTGAGTCATCTACTTAACAAGATATTCGAGATATGAAATATTTGATCCTTATGTCCGGGAATAACTACGACTTACAGTCTGACTGAGTCTGACTTTTAAAATTCGAGGTTTTAAGTACAATTTGTTCGTGTTACAAACCCTAATCCTACATACCGAGTATTTGGTGGTTCAGCGGAAAGGAACTGCATTTGTATTCAACACACTGAGAACTTCGACTTAACAAGGTTCAAGTCGAGTTACATAGATTTGACTTCAATATATCATTTGATTTGAATAATAAACTTTTGATAATATTAATTACTCACCTTCGCCAGCAACTCCGTCCGCGTGGAATTAAAAAAAAACAAAAGTAAGTAGCCTATGTGTTCTTCCAGACTATCCTCTACATTCATACCAAGTTTCATCAAAATCTGTTCTTCCGTTTAGGCTACAAACTCTGACATCCATCCATCCATCCATCTAAACTTTCGCATTTATATGATTAGTAACTATGATTATATCTTTAAAATAGAACAGCAAAAGTGACGAGCGAAGAATCCATGAATACCGTCGATCCAAAAAGACCTTGGCGGACAAACTCCTGTAAGGAGAAACTGCTGAGAATAGAATCGGATTTGAAAAGACTGAAATCGACAGAAAAGACCGGCTCAATAGTCGCAGTAGAAGATGATTGTGAAACGAATCTTTCGGAGGGTGACGTTATACTGACGGATCCTACTGGTGTTCAGTAATTTACTTATTAACTCAATAAAAAAATCGAAAAAGGCCTTAGTTTTTTTTATTATAAATGTGGAAGCATTACTGAAAGCAGGAAGACGCTGAAATTATGACTTCGTCTAAAAAACCTTACAGCTTACTTTTAACACTGTCTCTTCCCACCTTTTTCTTTAACTAATGGTTTTAGCTCTTTAGTTGATTCAAGATAGGCATTATTTTTGCAATAGCAGATGTCTATGGACAGTGGTCACTACGATATTTGGGCGAATCCAGGTGGCGGCTTACTAGTACATCGTTTTTTCATGTAAGTATTTTCATTTAGTATAAGAAGATTTGTTTATTAACAAATTCAATTTATTTATTTATAATCTGGGATAATTAGTAATACAATTGGATATTGTTAAATAAAACATCAATTTTATATGCTCTATACTATATTTCAAGAAAATAACATCCAATTATGAATTAAAACTATCCTTATATCAATACATATGCGATTATGTTATGTCTACGGATAATTAAAAAAATAAAACAGAGTTTTCAAACATAAAGGGGGTTACATATTTAGTTAGATATAGGTGTTTTATATCCGCATGTAAACAGATTGACGGATGGATGATTTATAATAATTGTAAGTAGTAAATTTAGTTTTTCTCTACAGTAAAATCTTGTAAATAAGTATTTTTTTTTTATATCCAAATATTTTTATGATAATTTGTCACTTGTGCGGATAATCTTATTTCGTGAAAAAATAGACGATTTCTTTCCTATTTATTCTAAATATTAATTTATAGCGGTAATGGTATTTTATATATGCTTTGTTTTAATCATATAACAAATTTAGAATAATCTATATAAAAAACATAACTCAGTAGACTATGGAAGTTGTTAACAAATTAATATAAGGAACTAACGGGCCGCGCTTTAAGCACACCTGGCCCGGGAACAAACTTAATTTTTAATAACTATAATAATATTAGAATGTTCAAACTTCATGGCGGCTCGGGGTTAGTAGCAAGCCCATTGTGAGGACTGGTGGAGGGAAGCGCAAGCAGGCGTTTGTCCCAACGATACCTTAGATCTTAGATATTGCGAGCCGTCATTAAGTTTGGATTGTATTATGCATAACCTTCGACACTTAATTTACGTAACATTAAAATTTAATATCATTATCGATTACATATAGTTGTGAACTATAAGCACAACATATTTGATTAAGGATCGATTATATTCGGTCGATCAGAATATAGTATACGAAGAGAGAGAGAGAGGGATAATAGAATTGTCCTTGTTTATGTTATTAGGTGCGCTGGGATTAGGGTTTATGCTGATTACTCCTTGGGCTGGGGACGCACGATCTCGCACTTGCCAGGTGTAGCGGGTGTCGGCTCGTCGGAGAACATCGGGTTCTTCACTTCCATATCGCCAGTCTGAAACATCACCGTCTTACCGTCCAATTGTAAACTTCGCTAGCCTAGTTACCTGTCTACTAATTATCGTTTGAAAATTACCAATTTAACAGTATAATTTAATTTTATTTCTGTTAAATTACTTTGATAATCATTATTAAGTTATTTTTGTGAGAACTAAAACTAAAATATTACTCTAATTAAAAAAAAAAACAATTAATTGTAAGCTATTAAAAATAAAACTATAAGAAGTTGGTACAATTCAAAACTAACGAAGTTTACAATTTTACGGTGTCATTAATATACTTAAGCCCGCTACATACGTTTAGTCCTGACAGATAATTAAAACTGTGTGTGTGTAGGCAAATCTTTAATTGTACAGTGCAACAGACAGATAATATTTTGGCAACACACGCAAAGTTCGATGTTCAATTAAAATCGTCATTTAGAACTGAACGTATGTAGCAGGCTTAAACATAAACAAAAGTATGTAAATATCTTATTCTGATCCTCAAGCAAAAAGGCTCTCGCGCGCAAATCTCAAGATAAACATATACATACATAAAAACCACTCATTCATCAGCACATTTTTGGACGGAGATTCGTGATAAAGGTAAAAAATTAAAGCTATAAAGAGACGAATCATGAAAACTTATCTCGTTTTGATAATTCGCAACTTTGGTATATCTTTTATGTATTTGTTAGCCCACCGGCTATCCGTGTCGATCTTGTAAACACTATAACAGAGGGATGAAAAGATTCCCAGGAAGACATGGCGTGGTGCCATGTCGCCGAATTCTATAAAGGCACGAGGAAGTATTTTTCTGGTCATGCAGAAGTGCAAGGGTACCAGATGTATCCTAGGAGTCTCTCAGTTGCACTTGTGGATGACCACCAAACGTAACACTTCCCTCACTTAGTCCTTTGTCTTTGGGAGAACACCAATAACGAGGAAACATGGTCAAGGAATAAGTGACACAGAACATAGACATCTAGTCTTATTAGAAAGTCAACGAAATGGCATAGATCACAGCAAAAGAAGGAATTTATCCAATGCTATTTAAACGACGATTTCTGAATTCGACGAGGGCAAGTCTAGTCGAAAATAATGATGGAGGAAGACATATTAAGCACGTAGAAAGAAACACAAAACCGAAAATAAGAGTCACTTAATCTAAATTAAGACTTTTAAATTTTCATAAGTGACATCTATAGATAGTGGAGTTACATATGTGTTATTAAATTTCACTCTTCCTATTGTGGTACGCATTCGCAGCTGAGTGTACACTAGAATACCGACTTTGGGTAAAGGCTATCTGAGGATTACTTACGGTCGCGAAGCCGGGGCATTCGTACACGGTGTAATCTCCTTCCTCGTTTTCCTCGGACTCAGGCTCGGACACGGATCCAGGACGGTTCTCAGCCACGACTCCCCTACACAGACAGTGTTGGAAAAAATGTTTTTATAAAGAATAAACTGGCTCTTGAGCACGATTCCACCTGTTAAATTATGTGGTTAAAATATGGTACGTACTAGTTAAGTAAGCGCCTGCTCTTAAATCCCTGACATCATGCTTGGACTTAAGTAGTCTTTACTATCTATTTTAATATAACTAGTCTGTACTATCATCATCCACTTGCCCTTATCCCTTACGGAGGGTCGGCACAGTATGTGCTGCTCTTCCATACATCTCTATCAGCCGTCATATCTGAATCCACTCCTTTCTTAAGCATATCCTGTTTTACACAATCCATCCATACTTTCTTCGGTCTTCCTCTTCCTTTGTAGCCATCCACATTCAATCTTAACACTTTCTGGTTTATGTCCCCATCATCTCGTCGCATAACTAGTCTGTACCGAATTCCATATATGTTAAAAGATTTCTTTAATTCTATTTCAAGTATTTCTCAATACATAAAAGTAATTAATTTAAAAACTCAGCATCGGTTCTTAGTTATGTATCATTTTGTATTTTTAAGGCTTTCCAATCATTCGTTCATTTATAAATTCCGATAATTTAATCTGATTAAACGTATTGAATAGAAATTACAAATAACTATTGAAATATATAAATGTAATTTAAATTATCGAGGAGCTGCCGTGGGCGCGAGGGTGCGCAGGGGGCGCAGGGGGCGCAGGGGGCGCGAGGGTGCGAGTAACGTGGCGTGGGCGACACCGCGCTCTGAGCTGATTTGGCTTTTATACTCATTTTCATCTGATTTTTTTTATCATTACTATTTTTTAAATAACTATGTGCCTTCTAGAATAATACCATCTGAATATCGATGTGCACGACGTTATTAGAATTTTATCCAGATAATTTATTAGTACTTGGGTTTAAAATCGACGATATCTTAATCATGGTTTTTTGTTATTCTGCCCTATTTCCTTAATGAAAATCTCTATGAAAGCCGAAGTGTACTTGCCGCTGTGCACCCGGATAAAAGGTAAAACGTCTCTCGCGGAGATTAAATAAAAAATCCTTGCATTTATTTTCAAATCCGATCGCGCGACGGTTCTGAAATGGAGTTTTCAATAAACGTCGAAATTGAATTTGTGCAGTTGAGATGTACTGTCGATGCAGCTCTCGACTCGGTTTTAAATTGCTCTCAGTTTAATAATTTAAATATGATATAGGTCTCAGTAAACAAGTCAAAAAACTATCGTCATAAAAATGGAGCAAATTGTAAAAAAAAAACAATGTAAAAGTAGCTGTTATAGCTTCCAAGTTAGTCTAATAGAAATTTCATTTTTTGTTCTTATGAATTCAGTTCAATAGACTTCATTCAGCTACTCGTTCTTTACAACCTATGAACGTGGATCCAATTAAAACGATATTTTTTTGTAAGCTTTCACTGCGATTGCTAACCATTGATGGCCTATCTAGGATCTCGAGGTTTTAAAAAATGGATCTAAAGCATAGGTTTCACAAATTGTTTGTTAGTACTAAAAAAATAATTTTGTCTCCAGTGAACTCTAGCAATATTTCTTCTTTAATTAGTAAACCCCGTTTATTTATACCCCTGCCCAGTTATAACCAAGGGTTCAACCTAAATCATTTGAGGAATCATTTTTTATTCTTCCATCACCAGCTCACTATACGTCCCCATTGGGGCTCGGAGCAAACCCTAAGTTAAGTTGACTAGGCCATAGTCAACCACGCTGGCCCAATGCCGGATAGTCGACTTCACACATATCTTTAAATTTCTTCGCCGACATGTGTAGGTTACATCACGATGTTTTTTCTTCACCGTAGGAACGTCGGGTAAATTATAATATGTACATATGAAAATTCGAAAATCACTTGGCGGGATTCGAATCCAAGACCTGTAGATTAGAAGCCAAGTGCTGAAACCACTGAGCCACCGACGCTCTTTTTTGGAATCACTGTTGTAAAATTGAAGACTTACTTTTCCATAGCAATGATCTGTTGCTTCTGGTGCTGGTAGTGGTAGAGGTGGGCGGAGTGCGCCAGCCTGCTGTCGCCGTGGACATCCGAGGGGCCGGTCACACCGTAAGCGGGGTATTCCGGCTCACCGGTTGCTTTAATCTTCTTCGACAAACTAAACACAATGTCCAAACTTAAATATATAAAGACCGAAAGAAGGTCAGTAATGATTTCAATCTGTCATTTTAAAATATCCCCCAATAATTGGAGAAGTCACTGACAAAAGAAAGTGAAAAACTATAAGCTTATAAGTAATTTTATGTGCAGTTGGTTGTCTCTAAAGTTAGTCAAGTTCTTAATTGTCTTTTCAATTAGGTAGTAAGTAATCGAGGGGAAGAGACTCAAATGATGCCGCCCAATGCTGTGACGGTCACGACTCTAAGGAATGTGGAAACGATGCGGTGAGAGAGAGATTATAAGTAATTCTTGGCTATTTGATACCATAATTCTAGATTTTAGTATGCGGTGGCTACATTGCCATAATTAACATAATGTGTTTATTATTAACATAGTTGACAAACATCTACCGACAGATGATCGCGTCATATACGATGAGAAAAGCTTTGAATATTAATAAGTATACTCGCTTCGGTTTATTTGCACGACTGATAAGGTTGAGGTAAGGTTAAGAAAATTAATTAATATGAAGATATATTCAGACGCGATACAGCTCGGTTTATCAGAGAATATGCATATTGCGCGACTTGCATGAACACATCGCCGGTGACGTTGTGTTAAGTGAAGTAAATTATTGCTAGCAGAAACCTACGCAGAAACACCTACTCATTTAGATTGAATCAAGAGCTTGATAAGTAAAGATTGTTAGGCGTCAACTATGAGAATCAGACTGGTGAAATGGTACATCCTTGACAAATTATGAATGCCGTTATTGGGCTTCGAGTCCTCGTACGAATGCGAACATACCACGTACGGTCGTAAAAATAAATTACGATTATATCATGAAATAGTTTGATCATCAAATTTTACTGATTATTCCTTTTTATACACGATCATGTATTACCATTAATGTGCTTAAAGGAAAAAAACAATCAACAAATAAATGTTAGAAAAATGTAATAATCTCAAAAACTTTCTGTAATTTAACATGAACCTGTATATTTTTCTGTACAAATCGGCAGTGGAAACACGCACTAAGTGATTTTAAATACTTACACGTAGAGTCCGTAGGTCAATCCAACAAGGGATACGGTGATGGCAGCAATAACGCCGATCAGGATTCCGATGCTATAGATAGAGTCGGAGAGGTCGGAGGCATTCGTATCGTAGAAGAAGGTAAGCCGAGGTCTGGCCGTGCTGTCGCTGTAAACGTCGTGTACAGTTAGAACAAGCCAAACTTAGCAACACAATACATTTAAACAGTACGATTAAACGAGCTGTATTAGGTTAAGGAGACAACTATGAATTTATATATGTGACTTAAAATCGATATCTTTATGTATAATGTAGTGGTTTATAATCAAATAGTAAATAAGCACGCGTTCGGTTAGACATAAGTCTCGCGGCCGCAAACCGATTCTCGTAAAAAATTTACTCGTTTATTCTTACCGTATTTAACTAAGCTACTTTCCTAACAAATATTCTACACACAAAACCGTTAATTAACTAGACAACTTGAAATGTGACATGCTCAAAAACAGTTCTGGTAAAACAAAATAATCCGTCAAAACATAATCAAGACTCTTTTATAAAAAAACTAAAATGTAATCAAAGGAACTTCTCATAAATGAAACATTTCTAAGAAGAAAGACTTAACTGTACGTAAGCTGTTTAAATGAACGTAAATACTGAAACTTAAATAACAGAACAGAGAAAAATTCAAGCAATAAATCGAACATCACATTTCACTATGAAAGTTGATTTTGAATATTTTTTTTTGAAAATAAAGACCAATCGATATTTAGTTGGAGAAATGTTGTGTTTCGATACGACTAACAGTTTCGGGGGAACGGGGTGTGGGGGATTGGTCTAACGGCCGCAATGTATATCCGATCCGAAGATATCTTTTACTTTTTAAAACATTGAACAGATAATCATTCGATCGCCGTTAAAACTTACATACATCATGTTCGATTGCTTGTGATGAAAGAACCAAATTGGATCAAAATGTTTTAAAAATCACAACGCACAATCATCGTTCGAGATCGGATATTTATTTTGGCATTAAGTGTACAAACTACTTTCACCTCTCTTCAGTATTAGTTTCTGTAACAGACGGGTGCAATATTTTCAACCAGCGTAGATTGGCTGGTATTAAGGAGACAGGCAGTCGGTATTCCATATTAGCCCTGGAATTTAATACTCTATCTACTGTTATTGTCACGAAGGAATTTTTCATTAAACATTAAGTGGAGTTAAAATCGAACCATACGAACTAGTATATCCACACCCTTATCTGTATTAAACGGCTTATAAAAGAAAGTACACAGTCTATTATGAAGTAATACAAAAGATATCAAAATAAAGACTGTAACCGCTATAATAAGAATAAGGTGAATTCTCCACGTATTAGACAGGCTTTTAAATATAACAATGACATAGATGTTACTGTCCTATTGTTCTTAATAAGCTTTTTCTTGCTTGCCCTTTATGTGACTATCACTGTAATGTAATATATCTTTAATATATGGAACAACGAAGATATGTTCATTTGTACAAGTAGCTAAGATTCTAAGACATTAGGTTTAGAGTCTAGATTCATCAAAACGAGTGTAAGATTCGATTCCATTAAAACAGTGTTCATTGTTACTTAACTGACAATTAAAAGTGATGCTTTAATATATTTTCATAACGGGGGTACAGTAAATTCATGGGATGTTGGTGGTACAAATTTACATGCAGATTATATTGAAATTGTATCCAATTCGTACATGGGAGTTGTTTTGTTTGACATGTACGTGAGCAGACTCCCTATTGAGAGCTTGGTCCATTGTTCACTAGAGTTCATTGTCAACGTCCGCCGCATCTGACCCTCCCTCCCCCCGCACTTGTAAGGGTGGTCAGTCATCATTGTTAACGATGACCGCTTCCCCGGACAAATGATTGGATTGAATATGCTATGCAATATATCCTTGATATCTTAGACTTATCTATAGATTCTATCGATATTTCTTAAAGTGTGACGTATCTGACCTCCTTAGTGAGTACGAAGTGTTAGTACTGGCCAGTAAATTTAGCACGTTAATTGTAGAAGAGTAAAGTTACGTGAAAGATAAGAATCGAACGCGCTTAAACAACGAAAACGAAGAAAACACCTTGCGGTTCTCGGAAATATCTATACTGTTATAATAAAGTGTAAACACACACTTATTTGTTGCCTAAGATGTCAGCAATTACAACATAATTTTTAATAATTCTTTTTTTACTGAAAAGCCCTTCACTTACGTCACGCTTTAGGCTAATGTGGGAAAGAGACCATAAGTTGCTGCCAACATCAAGGAAGCAAGGTTGCTATGCTTTGTCATCAAGTCATTTTGACATTTGCAATTGATAATTTGACAAATGTAAACAATACAAGAAAGTTTTTATAATTCCACGCGGGTGAAGTCGCACGGGAACAGCTAGTCCAATATAAAGTATTAAATCGAAAATATTATATAAAACTGTCAGTCGTGATTAAAAAGGCTTTCAGTGCATTGTTCACTCGGAACAATGACGTCAGAGAAATTATTTTTTATAAAAGTTTTAACCTTTACGTCATCAACGTGAAACTACCGACATATCAAATTGGGAAACTCGACACAGCAAGGTTGTGTGTTGATTGGTTGACCATTTTTTAATAGAAATCCTTTGTAGCGTGGAACGTTATAAAACCACACTCCATGGTACAGATTGACAAATTTAAATTGACCTAGTGGTGAAATGGATTTTCGTTCAGACTTTTGATTAGAGAAATTCTGTATTGCTATCGGTCAATCTACAAAAAATGTATATCCTATACCTTCGCTTACTTTGATAAAAATAAACACAATTAAACATTCTCGAACTTGCTCCATCTGCTCACGTGTGACTCGATGACGAAGTGAAGTAGAGATTAATTTAAATTTATAGATTAACACGTCATATTTAACAGTATTTTAATAAATAAAGTAACGGCTTAGCCGACAGTCCCCAAGGGGAGGGGAGCCATCGAGTTAGTCTTAAACAGATTTACACTAAGTAGTTAATGCTAAGATACGAAGAACTTATAAAGACATAAAATAAAAAGTTATAATCGGAATTAAGTTACTAAAATCTCCATTGAAGAGAAAAGATGGACGATGCCGCCGGCAAAAGCTATTTTTGTCTACAAATGTTTTTTGTGAAATGAATTACAGTTAGGTCTAAATTTGTTTTTTAATTAACATCTAAAGGTGAACTCTTTTCAACTACGATAACGACGCCATCGATGTTTACCTTTTCAAATGGAATTCTAAAAATTGATTCAGATTGGAAATGGAATGATACTGCGATATTTGAAAAAGAAAAATAGTACAAATGAATTAATTGGAAAGCTTAATTAGCTTGAAAGGCACCTTAATTGAGTCGTTAGAAGTATAATTTAATAAGATCAAGATAAAACTTACAGTCCGCTGGCGAGGTCATCGAGTTCATCTGCCACTAACGCTTCTTTGTCTTCACCTGCTTGTTCTTGCCTGGTCTTGCGCGGCATGATCATCTTGTCTGTTTGGTCCTGGATTGTTTTCGTCTCAACCTTTGGCTGAGCCACATCTGGGTACAAAATATTATATCAATATAATTTTACATCTTAAATGGTACTGATTATCCATCAGATTCCAATCCGCAATTCAAGTTTTGAAGGTTTTAAAAAATGGTTGTAAATCCTTGATTAACAAATTATATTCAGTGTTAAGATTAAATGTAGAGGGCTACAAAGATAGAGGAAGACCGAAGTAAGAATGGATGGATTGTGTGAAAGATATGCTTAAGAAGAGAGTGAATTCAGATATGACGGCTAATAGATATGTATGGAGGAGCAGCAGATACTGTGCCGACCTTCTGTCGGGACAAGATAAAGATGATTTAGCAGTAAAAATACATTACGCATCTTACAGAGATGGTGGAGATGAATTGTATGAAACTTGACAAGATAAAGAAGGGAGTGATTAATGGTAAAAGACATATAGATCTGGAGAATAACGTGGCATTGCACAAAGAGTTAGTAAGATGTTTTTGATACTTACGGAAGGGGTTTTCCTCCACGTAGTAGTAGCTCGTAGTCTCCGGAGAATAGGCGAATGGCCTCTCAGTAATGTCACTGAAGTCGGTGGACCTTTTGCTGTTACGCAGCATCTAAGAACAAGTAATTTTATAAAAGGCTAGCTGTTGCTCAAGGCTTCTTGATTGTGAAATTTAAAAATATAGCCTTTTTTAAATTGATCAAATCGGCACAGTAGTCTTGAGTTATTTCAATACATACAAAAATACAATTTTTTCCTCTTTTTAATACTAATGTAGACTATCTGTAACCACTACGTCCGCGCGTAATGAAAAAATTTAAATATTCAGTAATAATGTGTTTATTAAGCTATCACGCGAAACGCCATCGTCGCCTAATTAAAAAAAAATTAATCTTAATTATACATAATTCAATTATGTTCTACATCTATACCAAAATTCATCCAGGTGCAGTTCTGGAGATACGTGGTAACATCCATCCATCCAAACTTTAACATTCATAATATTAGTAAAAAGTAAGATAGATTCGGAAAGTTATAACTAATGTGAACGCGAGCAACGTCGAGTGCATCAACTAGTTTGTCATATATTGTGTTCGCGGACCGCTTGTTGCAAGTATTCCTAGAATTCACATTTAATATGTGAATAACGAACCAGCTTCCGAGAAACTTATATTACATATTATATTCACATTTTAAATTTAAAACATGCGAAAATTAACAAAGCAATTTTAATGAACTAGAAATAAATTCATCATTCGTATGAATTTAATTACTAAAGTTTAATAACTATTAAAGTAAAATGTATAGATGGATGTTTCATTTAATGTTGGATACCGACATAAAAACAACACATATAGACTCCCTACTTTGGTGATAAGTCATCATCAGCTAAACGTCCACTGAGGGGCTCCGAGCCTACCCTAAGTGACGACCATCACGACGACGATAGCCCTTAAAGTAATTTCTATCCCTTTTTAAGTTACTGATAATGAAATAAATAATTTAATTTTATTGGAAAATTTATTTTAAATCAAAAAAAAACAAACATAATTCATGCTCCAAATTCGACCAATGTTCGACCGTGTTCTCTGTAATTCATCGAACAAAATTACCAGAGAGTAGGAAACTGGTTGCATAAAGATTTTGTAAATAATAGACACAACTAGATTTCCGATAGCTATTCCTATCAGCACCGTTAGGGTAATATGTTCGAGATAATATAGTTAGTAAACCCGCCTAAACTTCCTGCAGGAAGAACTAGTTATCGACAGTATGGGAAGGATGTGGATATAATGAAGTTTTGGAAGTTATTTTATCACGATGCAGTCTACGTAGTTAGGATTTTAACTTTCGACATTAACAACAATGTGTTTTTAAATACGTTATGACACGTATAACACGTCAGGCACTTTTTTTCTTTAGTTTTATCTGCAACCAATTAGAACTTTAAATGGGAGGAACGATTATTTTTTCAGAATGTTTTCTCCATTAAGAAACTTCTTTCACAGAAGATCCTAACGGATCTTATTTGTTACATAATAGTTGCCCTTTATATTCTCTTTCTGTGAGCACAGTTGGGTAAGACTGCAACCAAGGGATTGTGGTGGGTCAGACACATATAGAGTACTAAATAATTTTATACCATACCATGTATATCTTAGTATTTAAAATGTATTTTAGAAGAGTTAGATTAAATAGATTAAATTATAGATAGCGGTAGGTGTTAATTGGTTTTAAATTTTAGTTACGTTGGCGATACACGTGTCGGAAATGTACAGCACTCTACCGGCTCGAGTTAACGAATTTAAAAATTTATTCAACCATGGAAGCTTCGTCGCACGAGCTTAGAATTAAATTATTGACGTTATTGGAGCTTGACCTTCTACCATGGATTGTTTACTTTGAAATTTTCATGGTCCAAGGTTTGTGATATTGATATATTACATACACAAAATAATTTAGAATTTTAAAACATAAATAAAAAACTTTTAAGTTTACTTACTCGTCGATAGAAGAGTTTTTTATTAATGTAATTAATAGTTTCCATAGTTTTAGTTTAAAATTATGGAATCGTTCCTATTTATAAAATCTTAAGTATATATTTAGAGAAAAAATTAAAATCTCCTGTAAAAATACACGTTATTTCTAAAGGTATTTTTAATCTTGTAAATGCGAAAGTATGGATGGATGGATGTTTATTAGAGTTTACTGCCTAAACGATTGAACGGATCTCGGCAAAATTTTACACAGATGTAAAGCAAAGTTTGGATAAACACATAGAACATTTACTTTTTTTTACGAGGCCGGAGTCGCGGGCGAAATCTAGTTTCATTATTATCAATGTTCCTTTTTAATTGGTGAAATACGTCATTTACTGAACGAATATGTGTGATATGTAATTCACAGAGAAAACAATTTGCCGGTGATATATGTATGCCATGCTGTATATTGAAACCGTTGTAACAATGCAACTGCCGTGAACGCTTCGCTTTGTACAATCGTGTACATTTCTGCAGACTACAAGCTCCGAGTCTCAACTCTACGTGACTGTACATCTATAAGTAAATACACGACGTCGACGTGCCCTATTTAAAAACTCATCTAGATTTTAAAACAACGAATTAGGTGAAGCTGGCCATGAAATTTACACTGACGAAACATTATTGTGTTTTTTTTCTATTTTCGTCTCTGAGGGTTACACATGTAACTTTAAAAACCCATGTGAAGTCATTGTGATATTTTCTCGTCACATACTCGAATACCAAGATTGCCTCCAACCAGTTTGCTTTGAACCTATGGTAGGGTGTTTTGAAAGCACGTGGGGTTTTTATTTTGCGGTTAATAAAAGTGTTATTAGCGTTGAAATAAAAAAAAAAAACGATTCATTATGGGTGTGTTAAGTGCTAGCGTACACACACACTTCTGTGATATTCCGTCAAAATCAAGTAAACTACCGTTCCGTTGTAATAAAGCCCATACTGACGACATATTTTTTTTTATATTTTATGTATACTATTGAAAATACAAAGCGTTTTTCCTTCCGTCATTTGTTTTCCTGATGAAACCTACATTACGTAAGAGAGCACTTTTTTTAATCATGTTGTAACCGGGTTGCCTAATCCTAGCCTGGCAAGGCTATGTTTAATTGATCTCTGAAGTGGGCAATTTTTAGAGTAAAAACTCCTCATCGAGTTTCTTGAAAATTTCGTCACCAATCTATAGTACGTAACGTAAACATGACTCTTTAAAATTTAAAACATTACTTGCTTTTAAAGAAACTATTTGCGGTATTTAAGTATGGTTTCAAGTATACTCAAGGACAAATGAACCATGAGTACATGATCAATAAGCGTTGAATTCTTTTGTTTGTCAGATGTCAGTGGGTAGAAAACATCTTCATTGTCGTGAAGGGTTGCGAGTTGCGAGAACGTAATTATAGGAAAATAGACGTTAATTTGTTATTTCTCATTCAGCATCTATTTCCAGATTTGCTTTTATTATTTGTAATCTTTTCACTTATGGAAAAAGAGAGATAAATCCATATTTCACATCAATAATTTCGGAGGCGCCACAGGCGTATCTTGCTAATGTTAAATTCTCGATATAGAAATATTTAAGTAATCGACTCAAGGGAAAGATTGGCAATTTCATTTAAAATGAATTTTATCTATTAAAATTTAGATAAAGCAAGAAATGTTTGTGTTTTTATAAAATAACGAAATGGAAACATGAAAGAATAATTTATTACTTTGAGTCCAGACGAAGCATCGGCAACGACTAGTTTAAATTGCGTAGGCGTTGTTTTTTTTAATAGAAAATAGTGCAAATAAAACGAAAATGTAATTAAATTATAGCGATAATGAGTTAACTGTGCCAGATAATAAGAGAGAATTATGATCAGAGAATATTGTTATCGACCAGTATTACTCGTAATACCACAAAGTGGTTAATTGTTTGTCCGAGGCTCGCGAGAGCTCGCGCTGGATTATTGCATTAAGTTATGCCAGTGACACATAGAAGCTAAACCAAAGCGAAGCGAAGTGTATGGAGACTTTGTTCACGTTAAGTTTAAGATTATCACGTACAGGATTCACGCCTAGTAGTGCCGCGCCCCGACGCCGACGCGATGGCGACAACAAATCGTTATTATTCGCTACATATGTGACTCTGTCTCACAATCACACTTCAGGTTAAAAGTTATATTTCATTTGAGTCGTTGTGATGAAAAGTTTTTTACCTTTTAATCTATGTATCAACCGTTGCTTTAATTCGCTCTCGTGGCTGTGTGTTCCCGGCTTTAATGCGATGGACAATATTTGCTACGGCATTTACATATCAATGTAAGCGACAATTATAACATACAAACAAACAAAGGTCAACAATTTTATTACTAACTGGACAGCTGTATACAAACAAAAAAATGTACTTTTGTATGAAAATTCAATTACCGGTCATATTTCGTGTACGATTCAAAAATAAATAAGTTTTCAATAAATATAGAAAATTCAATTAAAATGAATTGTGTGATATAAATTGTTAATTTACTTTTGTAAAGCAAACAGTCTGTTGTAGGTTATCGGATGTAATTATAGCCTGCATCGAAGCGTCATTTGGTACGCTTCATCCCTCTGTACCAGTCGAGGATGTTTATTTCCTACCCATGTCTATGAAATGTCACTTGCCAATTACAATGCAATATATCGAAGCCTTCTAGCAATGTAAACATGTGCTAAATTATAAAATTGCTTGACCAACTATGACATTGTTATAATCGCATTAACTTTTTTTTGACCACACTTGCTACTTCGGGTTTCCTGTTATATTGACATTGTCCTTTTTAATTTAGGGATATGTGAAAAAAGTCACCAGGTGTCGTGCTAGTCCATGACTTTTCGTCGCCCGCATAAGTGTCAAAGGTTGGCCGGTCGTAGTCTGCCAAATTCTGTCGCCCTCCTTACAATATTAAAAAGCAGGTAGCTGACATGTCATATTCTCTCACCAGGCTAGGTACTTTATATGTTTTTTATACCAATAAGTTTGAAAAGGATACAAGTTGCAGAATTTCGATCTAATCGACGGAAAGAGTTATCTTACCTGTAAGATGTTTTAATATAATGCTTTACATCTCTTAAGATGTAACTCTTTGCGCCAACGAAATGATAAATCATTAATTACCTTTTCCAGCCAATCTTCGATTTCTGGTATTTTGTAGACCACAGTCTTGGTGGTCGGCTTGCCGTCGACAACCGTGGGGACTTCGGACTCAGTCAGGAGGGCCCGGAGTTTCTTTATATACGGAATTTGGTTCCCAGGAGGCTCCGCCCCTTTGACTGCAAGAAAAACATGAATTAAAAAGAGACATCAACCTGCTACATGTCAACGTAAAATCATACTAATATTATAAATGCGATAGTTTAGATGGATGGATGTTTGTTAGAGTTTGTAGCCTAAACTGCTGAACGGACTTCGACATTTGGCACAGATGAAGCACATAGTCCGGAAGGAATAGGCTGCTTACTAAGTTTATCAAATTCGGCGGCCGGAGTCGCTTGCGAAAGCTAGTTTATTATTATATTTACAACAGATTATTTCTTTAATTGAAACATAAATGTTTAAATAAAAGTGATGTTTTGTATTTATAGAAGACAATTAAATGTTTAGTAGCAACAATCACTAGTGTTTTGTAACAGAGTTCATCGAAGGGACACCTCGTTATCGGAGGAATAGTGTCGCGAAGTGACGTCACGCCGGCTAAAATACGCAAACTGATAGCAGACGCTAACTAACACATGTGTAGAAACACTAGTGCTTGCCCGCGTTGTCAGCGCGACAATAAAAAATGTATAGCTTATGTGTTCATCCAGGCTACGTTGTACATCTGGGCTAAATTTCAATGATCTCGGTTTTGAAGATATTAACTAGTTATCTATCCAATCCATCCAAACTTTCGAGTTTTTGATATTAGTAGCATGAAGTATATTTTTTTTTAAGCCACGACGCTTTTCTAATGTCTTCAGCGCATTCAAACTTACGTTAAATTATAATTACATTGTAGGAAAATGTATAAATTAGTTTTAAGTTGTTATATCGCACAGCAAATACTTTTTTGTATTACAATATACAGTCTATATCATTTTAAAATTGTTAAAATACCTATGACAACTCTGTAGTTGTTTCTATAAACACGATAACGATTTTCTCCATTCGTAAATAAAGTTTACGTTAAATTAATAAATGTTGGAAGCCGCAAGCTACTTCCTTTAACTTCAATCGATTTAATTACACGCTCAAGTTTCATTTAAAACAAATCTCCGTTGAGTTGCAACGGAGAATTCCCGTAACCACAGATTGATTTACATGCAACTGGAGGAATTTATGCATTAGGTGGAAGTAATTGAAATATTTACCGAAGTATTTAAAATGTACTTCAGTAAGAATTTTAGTATAACAAATTAAATTATAATTTATGTTAAATTCAAAACTAATATGTTTATAAACTTAGTGAGCGTAGGAACTCTTTGATATTTCTATTTAGTTTAAAGATTCTTGAAGCGAAGACGCGTTCCCGTGTCTAAGTTTGTAAAATTAATTAAAAACGTTGCACTCAACGCAAACTTTGCAAAACTCTACAATATTTGTAATTAAGAAGTTAAATGAAATTTAAATTTTCTTTTCCTGTATTAAACTCGACTTCAATGAATTTCGTTTGGCATTTGCATTTAGTAGAAAATCTTAAGTTTTTTTCATTCAAATTTAAATAGTACAGTAGTCGTAATCGAAAAATAGAATGTATTTATTGCAATAGCAATTTAAATAATTTTCAAAGTAACGACAAGGATCGTGTATCGATTTTAGCGGTTATCAAACGATAGTCTAGAGTTTGAAAAGCTTCGATAACTTATAAAGTATTTAAGAGCATGTTAAAGTTAGCAAGTTTCAATCGCTTGTGGTACACGTGCCGCCAAGTTAGCGTTGCTCAACAATGTGTACTTGAGTGTAGAATCTATTATAAAATTTAAAACATTTTATCTTCATACATAACTGTTATGAAAATCGCGATAAAACTAAAATTTTTCATTACCAATGATTGTACAAAATCCATATATCGAAGTCGTACTCTTCATTATGTGACTGACTTAATGAATTCAATTAGATTTTATAGGTAATTTATACGTAATTTCTCATAAAAATCTAGTATTTTCTAAAACCTTACTATACGAGTAGAATGCTTATTTATTTATACATATCTAGCATCCGGTTGACATTTGAACTTATACTATTTACAGGAAAATTCCTACTTCGTTTGAAAGTGAACGGAAGTTTGTCCTCCTACTTAAGTTAGTTATAAGTTTCACATCGTCCTACAACTTTCATACTTTCATAAGTTTAAAACGACGATAATATAAAAATATGCATTTTCGATGAAAGATAGGTAGCAATAACTATTTTTGATGATCGCCATCAGTACAACAGACGTCCATAATGAGAGACTTGGAATCTACCCTAAGTTAAAAGTGTCGAGGCCATAGTTAACTTTGAATTTATTCACAGATATGTATATCCGGGTCGCATCATTATGCTGTCCTTTAGTAAACGTCGTATAAATGTATATTTCAAATTCGGTAAACACCTTGGTGTGCGGAATCGAACTTGGTAGTATAGATTATGGTCCAATTAAGCTCTGAACTGCGCCACCGTTATTTTACAAATACCTCCTACAATATATCTAATGTTTGTGTTCGTTACAGAGATTCCAAACCTATCTGCGTCTTGAAAACTCCATCAATTCAGATCAAATAGACGATAGTTTCCACTTTGATAAGTTTCTTCGACGCATCGCTTTAGTAAATATAAACAAAAACTTCAATGGACTTAATGTCAAGCTCGTGCATTCACATGTAGTTGACGACCTTGCCTTCTGCGCAATTGTTTTTTTTAATTAACTTAAAACACTTGTTATGGGTATTGCGCATATATGTTGACTGTCCGGTATTCATAGTTACATCCAAAGGGTTGTTTACGATTATAATTGCAACTCAATATTTTTCTATGCGATGTAATTTTTATGTCACGTGCAGTTAAATGTCAAAGGTAGAGTTTTGTTCCAAAACTAACCATACTTTTCCATAAATTAAAACATTATTTAATAAGATTTAATCGCTGATAAATGAATTTCTGAAAAAAGTAAATTGTTCCAAAAGTATAAAAAGATGTAAGTTTTAATATTGTCATTTATAGATATTGTTATTATTAAAAAAAATGTTAGTTACATTTAACATTTTATATACTTAAACAAAGAACTTTTCAATTTTTAAAAAGCTTCTAAAACTTTAGAGACATTTAAGGAGTTTAGATAAAGGGATTTGAAAACATTCATCTTTCATTTACAAGCACTATTTATCCATTGACGTGAGCCGCCCCCGGGCGATTAAGATGTAACCTTGTTAAGTCTCATCGCAAGGTTCTCTTTGACCCTTTGAATTCAAACTATATTTAAAGAAATTTTAAAGTCCAATTTTATGTAGAAATTAATCGATTAATTTTACAATTTTATCGTGATACCCATATTTAAAATTTTATAGTGGTATGGGCATGTTATGAGAAGGGATAAATCGCATGTAACAAGACGGAAGTAAGTTATGAATGTGGAGGGGTACATCGGTAGAGGTAGACCTAGAAAGACATGGATGGATGGAAAGGAGTCATGATCAAGAAGGGAGTGATGACTGAGATGACGGATGATAGAGTGCTTTGGAGGACGAAAACCCGGTGCGCCAACCCTACGGGTATAGGATAAGGCAGGGGAGATGATCGTGATACCCATATCGGTTAGTTGTACAAAAGTATTATAAACTGTTTACTAAAACACGTAAAAAAGACACGCATAAAAAAGTAGCTGATAATTGGAGATCGGTATTTATACGAGATGCTACAAGTAAACAATAAAGTTAAATGCGTTTTAAAATAAATTAATGTCTTAATCAGAAGCTTCGAGAAGTATTCGTCACCTTGATATTGTAAACACTTATTATGTTCTCATTCATCAATGTCTACTTTATCTGTTTCTTTATTAATATACAACAATTAATTCCTGTTTGTTTTCATTTTAGAAAGATGTACAATAGTATAAAAGTACATTGTACATGTAATTTTTGGTTTCAAATTTAAAGAATCCGACAAATGCATCTGTTCCCGCGCCACGAATTCCCATCGAGGTTGATGTGAGGTTAATTTGATCGCAGTAACTACTGTCGGGATTATTTCGATCAGAATCCGACATCGTATGCATGTCAATTTATGCCATTGGAATTCGTATCTGCACATCACTGACGAATATTTCATAACCAGTTAAGCCGGACAGAAATGTTTATATGGATTTGTTTGTATAAACCTGTCTGCAAGACTTATCCGTGAGCTTGAACCTAAAGGTTAACCGTAAGTTACATTGTCGGAACATTTAAAAACATATTTCCAACAGATATCCGCAGTCAAAGTGTACGGTCAGAAAATTAGAAGTGGGATCAAATGTGTTCATTTAATTAAACTACACTAAATTATTGTGCTTGTTCATCCGATAGTTTAAGCAATTAATTGTCAAACATTTGAATGTCCAATGGTTAAGGTATAAACAGCACGCAAAATGTAAATAAGAGATAAAAGAAAGTAGCGAGTACAACCGCAAGGTTAAGGGTAACTCGCAATTATCAACTCCTCATCATCGTCCAGCCGTCAGGCGCCAATCGTTCAAAGTAAACAAAACTTCAGTCGTATGATTGAAGTTTGTATAAGTTTGCACTGGCACAATTTAATTTATAAGGAATCAATACGTCGCAATAACATTTTCATTTCGACGGGTCAACTTGGGAATCGAAATAATCAAAACCAGTCTAGGATTTTTATTAACTGCGTTTTATTACAAACAATTTTCCACAATAAATGTTTGCACTTAATATGAACATACTAGCTTGCGGCCCGTGACTTCGTTCGTCTAGGACAGAAAATAAAATTGGTAAAACAACCAAATTAGTTTAGCTGTTGCGTTTAGTGCAAACAGACCGACGTTACGCGGTATAAACTCGGTACAGACGTATATCTAAAAGTTTTAACCGAAGAGTCAAAATGTCAGTGTAACCGAACAGTTCGATTCTGTGTTAAAATGTCAACTGAACGTTTGCAGCAGGCTTTATATTACACCTGTAGGTACTAAACTTGCTGTTTTTCTTTCTGACTCCATGAATGTTCGCCATGTAACATGTTACATTACATCCCGTAACATTAGTCGGTACCTAACTTAAGGTACTGGCCGATGTTACGTAGTGTAATATAACATTCGCATCGGGGCTCGTCGCTGGCTGGTTTTCCTGTAACTTCGTACGGATTTCTTCGTAATGTTTCTTAATTCATTACAGTACACCGCGTAGCATCGGTCATTGCGCACCTTACACTTTCACACTTATATGTAAGTAAGATATCCTACTAATATTATAAAAGCAAACGTTTAGATGGAGGGATTTTGCTAGTGTTTGTAGCCAAAACCGCTGAACAGATTTCTGATTTTTAAATTTCACGCGGACATAATCGAGGGCGATAGCCAGTATTTACTCGTAATATTGATGAATAAGCGTGGAGTCGTATTTATTGGAAACCGTATTTAATTAATAAATGTTGTTTCAAAACAAAATAATATCTTCATATTATTGTTACATACTTTCTAAAGTAGTTAGTAAGTGTTATTGTCAATTATTTGAAATATGAGTACAGTTATTATGTAATATTTAATTCGTTAGTTATATAAAAAATGTCGACGTTTTAGCTATGTTTGCGAAATCGTGTCCCGTTTAAAAAGCAAAGCAGACGATAATAAATTATTTAGTAGTTAAATATTTAGTTATAGACAACTACAAATCGTATTATTATCATTGTGATCAATGAAAAAAACATTTTGAATGTTGTTAGCCAATCTGTCGACTGTTTTATATTCGCATAACTTGTCTCGATGAGGGAATTATACCAAGTGTACATTTTTTGGTCAAAAATCGGACCGTTTTCTGTGTAAAACTAGCTTTTCATAATTCTCCGTAAAACTGCGTCAAATTTTGTCTTTTCGAGTTTTTTAAAAAGGGGCAAAAAGTTATCGCTTCAACTAAATATAGGTTTTATAAGATTTTATAAGAGCGTCGGTGGCTCAGTGGTTTAAGCACTTGACTTGTAATCTACAGGTCTTGGGTTCGAATCCCGCCGCCATGTACCAATGTGATTTTCAATTTTTCGAATTTTCATATGTACATAATTTACCCGACGTTCTTACGGTGAAGGAAAACATCGTGATGCAACCTGCTCATATCAGCGAAGAAATTCAAAGATATGTGTGAAGTCAACCAACCCGCACTTGGCCAGCGTGGTTGACTATGGCCTAGTCACCCTAACTTTAGGGTAGGCTCCGAGCCCCTCGGTGGGGACGTATAGTGAGCTGGTGATGATGATGATGATGAAGATTTTATATATTTGCAATAAAAAAGGCCGATTGGTACCGATTGGTATCTAGTTAGGTTTAATATTTTTGTAGATTAAAACTTGTAACATATTTCATTGAACCGAATATTAAAGCGTTGTTAAAAAAAATACTTTTGCGTATATCATTTTGAATTTATTTCCGTTTGTCGTTGTATATATGCAACAGTTTTATAAAAACTCTAAACGGGGAAAAAATCCCGTGTCAACTAGAATCATAGGAGGTCGAATAATAATTTGTTTCGCGACAAACGTTTTAAAAACAGCCAATTTGAATATGATGACGTACCATGGTGAGCTTAGACTATCGTAAGTATGTATAAGAACTATATAACCATCTTGCTTTATTTCTAAAAAAATAAAGATAGCAACACGTATCTGGATTAAATTCACGGTCAGCATCAATATAAAAAATATATGTCGGGATACAACACAGGAAATAAACTTGAAATGCGTATATCAAGTACTTCTTGTCCTTGGTAGTGTAAACTGTTTCCTTAAATTGTTTTTTTCTGTTTGATATATGTTTTACTAGCTTTCGCCCGCGACTCGGTCCGCGTGGAATTAAAAAATACATAAATAAATAGCCTATGTGTCCTTTCAGACTACCCTCTACATCTACATGCTAAATTTCATCGAGATCTGTTTAGCCGTTTAGACTACAAACTCTAACATGATATTTATCCATCTAAACTTTCGCATTTATAATTATTTGCATTTTTTTTTATTTATTATTAAGATTGGAATCATTATTATATGCAACGTGGCTTTTAATTTTATATTTTAAATAAGAATAACGATAAAACAGGAGTCATGAATTTAATGTGAAAACCATTTTACTGTAAAAACAATATGTCAAATGACATTTGTCTATTTCTTCTTTTTAATTATAAACAGCCAGAATTATTATAAGCATTTTTGAAACGATAAAGATCGTTTTCGTTATTTATTTAAGTACGTGTTAATATTACTAAAAGTACTATGGACAAATAATTGCATTTTAAAAGTATTATTTAATATGCTTCCGTGAAGTTTAAACTTTATAAGCTGTCTCTTTACCCAATCGGTTTTCGTTCCAGTACAACTTTATTAGTATTAACAATTTGTCGAGTTGCCGCGGCAGTTGAGGCAACTTTTATAGGCCACCGCTTCATTGGCAACTGTTGATGTTTGATAGGGCAATCTAACTTTATACTGGGACAACTTTTAATTTCATAAGTTACAGGATCGACAGCGTAAAAAACTATCAATCTGTTTGTATTAAACAAGGTTTTTTAATCCTTAATTATATTTTTAATAATTCATTTGTTTAAAAAAAAAACATTATCATACTAATATTATAAATGCGAATGTTTGGATGGATGTTTGTTAGAGTTTGTAGCCTAAACGGCTTAACGGATTTAAATGAAATTTGGTATAGATGTAGAGGATAGTCTGAAGGAATACATAGACTGTTTTGTTTTGTTTTTTTTTAATACCACACGGATGAAGTCGCGGGCGTAAACTAGATTTTTATTTAGGCTTTTAAAATGCGCACAGCAGTAAAATAAAACGTAATTTTATAATTTAATATGATTATTAATAATAATAAGTCAACTTGCAGTTATTTAAAACAATAGTTTGTGCTATCCTTATTATCGATGTATTATTTGTTACTGTTTTTTTTTATTTGATCTCATTTAATTAAGAATTAACCAAATCCGTCGGAATAAGAGAAGTAATCTTTTAGTTATATCAATATTTTTTTTTCTTAATGTATTTTTTATTTTAAATGATTTCGAAAGTCAAAATGTTAGCAAAGTATTTTAATTGTACAAGATAAAACTCTCATGATTAAAAAAAATAGTAACTATAAAAATGTTTAACTATTTGCCGTCTTGAATCAACTTTTTCCCGATTTTAATTTATTTAAGAATTTTGAGAGAACGTCGTTATTGTCATTTATTTTTAAAATATTTTCAATAAAAATTGTTCAAATTTCACTAAAGTTTAATTTCTTAACTTTATCCCGTTTTAAATGTATTAAAGAATACAAATGAACGAATCTGACGAAAAACGCGACCTTAAATTAACTTATAACTAACATATTAATAAACGCAAAGACAAAAACAAATTTAAAAACAAAAGCACAGCAGTGATAACGGCGGCAAGTTACAAATGTTGCGCCGAGTAACAGGTGTCAAACGTGCTGATACCACCGCAAACTCCTTTACTCAATACTTTAAAATAAATAAAAAAATCGCAGGGCTTCTCCTAAAATCATAAAAGAATAAACGCGACAGCACACAATAGGCAAAATAAAAAAAAAACACGTAAAAGTATTAACTTACCATTTTTCTCCGCTATGTTCCACGCAGTCAGGACGACCACTAGAATCCGGATAGCAAGCATCGTGGCGGCTGTCGCGGCACAGAATGAAGTTCTGTTTACTAGTCGCTTCGAGGTAGAGTTGCGCACCGATCGATACCGCCCACATCCTCGCCACCTATCCCTGGCATAAGGTCACAAACGCCAATAGAACCCTAGCACTTAACAAACAAGAGCATATCGCCGCTTACGACCTTATACTTCGAGGTATAATTTCGTTCACCGATTACAGACACTAGTAAAATAAACTCTATGCTTCCGTGTTTAAAGGTCGAATTCAAATGAGGGTAATGTCGACATATGGAAAGATCACTCTACTGAATCGTGCTGAAGTCGCGCGTTTAGCTTGTAGTCCTGTCGCCGGAAACAGGAGACAAATTACATTAGTATGTTGATATCCTTTCGATCTAATTAACGCCTGAAGGCTTACGTCGATTAGAATTTACTCTAAAATACAGACGTTTAGTTCCTGCGAGTTTATAAGGATTGACTTTAACGTCTGAAAGTTAAATTATAAAAGTTTAAAATATGACTTTTAATGAAGTTATGGGCATAAAAAGTATGAAAAAGTACGAGTATAAGAACGTATAAATTTAAAATTGAAATTCATAATGGATCGCATATTTAAAAGGCAACACCGGTGGCTCCGTGGTTAATTTCCAGGCCCTAAGTTCGAATCCCGCTATACAGGGTGATTCTTCTAAGTTGGAAATCTGTTTTTCCGTTTTTTTTTTACAAAAAATAAAATAACCTTAAAACTATAGAAAATTAGGCAACAAACTTTGCGTTCAAATGATAGCTGTTGAGGTCCTCTACCTCCACAAAACCATTGATCAGTCCGTTAAGAATCACCCTGTATATAGATGCGTTTTTCATTCAATTCCTCTTAGATAACTGCACACTCGCTAGTTGAATTGTATGTAGGTACTGTTAAACAAGAGAGGAGTATTTTGACGCTTCCGGTGGATGCCAGCTCGTGTAAATATGCCAATGTTATGGCTAGTCATATTACTGAGTAAATCAACTGACTCAAACCACAGATAAGTATATATAGTACATATGTATATATAGTATTCTTATGCTGAGTTTCTGAAGTGTATATTATTTTTTTCATTAACTAGTTATTAATTACTTTTAACTTGATCATCCCCACCGAGGTGCTCAGTGCCTACCCTAATAAGGGGTGACTAGACCATAGTCGACCACGCTGGCCAAGTGCGGGTTGGTTGACTACACATATCTTTGAATTTCTTCGCTTATATGTGCAGGTTGCATCACGATGTTTTCCTTTACCGTAAGAACGTCGGGTAAATTATGTACAAAATTCGAAAAATCGAAAATCACATTGGTACATGGCGGGATTCGAACCCAAGAACCTGTGAATTACAAGTCAAGTGTTCAAACCACTGAGCCACCGACCAATTTGACCTGTTTAAAGTCAAGTTATGTAGTTCTGAAATGTATTTCATACAGTTATCGAAAACACTAACAATTAGTTAAACGTAGGTGGGCAACCGGCCATTAGTCTACCAAACGCTAAGGACGAACATTCAAAGCCCCAGTAGCGAGCCGTGTCGAGCTACCACTACCGCTACCACTGTTAATATTTAATTAGTCTTTATTGTTGCACTAAGAAACAATCTTCATTTGTTATGCGATCAATAAAGTTAGGTGTTGCTTCTAGATTATTTATACGATCAATAGAGTTAGGTATTAGTATTAGTTGATGTTTGTAAAGTAGGTTTTAAATTATATCTTAATGCTGAATAGCCTATGTTCTAATTATGTCTTATTTGATTTTTACCGTAACTTTTCGATCAGGATACTCTTATTACAGTCGATGTTATGATTTTCGTCAGAATATTTGTGTACCAGGATTTTTAGATTTTTAGTAGTTACTATACGTGTCTTCGGATTTTGTAGACAACAGGTCGAAATAAATAAAAGTATTAAAGTGATAGAAAAAAAATGCTTTGTTCAAAAGTATGTTTTGTATGCTTTGTAGTTTTTAAGTTTTTTCAATACATATGAAAAAAGAAAAATACAAATCTTTCCTCTTTATAATATTAGTTTAGATAAAGTATATTTAAAACATTATTACATTTGCATAAGGTGTGTGAAGTTAAGCAAGGACACTGGTAAAAACTGATTGACTAAGATGTTGTCACCCCTAACTTAAAATAGACTTGAACTTCGAAACTGGGGACTTGTATAAGTTAGCTAACAACGAAGATATTGACCGTGGATGTCATATCATATTAAATAATAATTTTTTATCCAATCATTCCATTAGTTCTTATCAAAATGTACTAAGTGTCCTCGACTCGAGTAATGAGTTTGAAAACTGACAAAGTTCTCTAATTCGATTGTACAAGATTGACAAACAGTATAGTAATAGTTTAATAAAACACAAAACTTTTAATAGAATTTATTAGAAAGATATAAACAATTCCATTTAAGGACGTCTGTGGCAGACAGGTTAAGCGCTTTTAATCTGCAGGTCGTGGTTCGATCCACGCCCTGTACCAATGTTTTTCCCGCTAAGTGAATCCCAAATTCGTTAGATAGTCGCGACGTATTTATCTAAGAAATAATATCTGAAGTCTTGTAAACGAAGGGCCTTAGTGTTAATTCAAAGAGGTATGAAGTCACCCAATCTTATTGTCGTCTAGATAATATGGATATAACACAACTTGGGGTCAGGGTTCGAGTCGGTGGTAATGTATCCGATGCCTGTAGATATCAGTAACGCCCGAGGAACCACAGACGCGTTGCTAGGCATAATGGAGGTGTTCGCACTTTTCTTTAAAGACCCCAAGTTGTATTTGTTTAAGAATATCGCATTTTCAAACAATGTAAGATTCAACGTAAGTACTGCAAGAGACAACTACTCGTGGGATTTTCGTTATGAAAATGTACCGCGATTGAGGGATCCAGTTTAGGACTCATTTGTTTTGAACTGTTGGTAACGAATACGAGGATTTCAAAAGAAATCGAATTCAAAATTAATTTTCGAATAATGAAAATATATTTATAAGCAGTGGTTACTAAATATTTGACAATCTTTGTTGTGCTTAATAAGCAAACAAAGTAATCTAGAAAGCGATAAGATGTTGATATTAGAGACTCCACCTAACAAATTAGTTCTTGTCGGAGAAATAACGCTGGCCGAGTACCATGTATCTCGAGGCTATCGTCTGTTTATTAAAGTTGCTTTTTAATACCATGTCATTGATATGCAGAAGAAACAGAGTGGTAGAAGATACACATCTTTTGTTTGGGGTCAGAATATGCACCACGTGTGACTCTATTTTTTCTCGTGTTGTATGTATTTGTGCATTTAGCATATTTTATGATAAATCTACAAACGATGGCAGCGCCATCCTAACCGGGTCAGAAATCCTTTTTGTGATGTTGGACTACACATAGTTCAGATATTGTGAAAACGTGAAAGTATTGTGTTGGTTTTGAGCTCAAAATATAGATGGCTCTTAAATTAAAACCCAAATTACTGCCATAATTATTTTTAAAATATGTTTTGGTACATTTAAAAAAAATGTAATGGATGCAAAATGTAATCAAAAATATATACTTTATTTTTTGATATTCGTCGTAAATTTTTATTATCAAATAGATGGCGTGAGCATTTGATTTGACGTGAAACAAGGACTCAATCCGTAAGGGGCACGCAAAGGCTGCGGAGTTCTGTTTGACGCAAAATTTTATACGTAATTATTATATTTTACTCATTTACAATAATTTTTTGAGTGTGTGAAACAAATTACAAGCAAAAGCCATCGATAGATGGCGCATATCTGAAATAATTACTAATAATGCTGGTTCAACAGTTTGATAATTTTCAAAATTTTAAATTTTTTAGAAACAGTGATTTGTGCGTTTTTTTTTATAACATAAGGTGGCAAACGAGCAAGCGGTCCCCCGAATCCGCCAAAATGGTGAAGTGACCGCTGCCCATACACATACGCAATTGTAGATGCGTTGCCTACCCTTATCTGACGGAGGAGAAGACGCACATAAAGAGGATATTTTCCCTTCCTACGCATCTCCTCTACAGTCAAATCCACTTCCCGTTCCCATCCTCTCCTTATAAGAAAAGGGTGGTATAGAGAAAGGTACATAAATTAGGCCTCCGGCACCACATTCATCAGACGAAACACTGTATTGCTTCCGCCTGTCTTCTGTGTGGTCGTGGTATTACACCGGGCGTGCCGGCCTATTCGTGCTAAGATTTTATAGCGGGCTTTACCAC